GATAATAATTGAAAGTTTGAGGTAGAAGAAGACTTAGATTTAAGATGACACTAAAATAGATTAAAATACCTTGTTCATTGGCATGGATATGATATTGGTGAATGTACATGAGAATTAGTAAAAAATATTACAAATGTAATAAAGAAGATTGAAATTTTTCATCAATGACATCCATCAAAATCAAGATAAATAATAATAAATCTTTGCTATAAAAAAATAAGATCCATAGAAGATAGCATTCTATTTTTTACTCTTAGTTATAACTTTTATATATTTATCATGTTAAATAGATAGAAAATCAACAACTAGCAAATTCAACTCAAAAGTTATTGCATGTTGACTTATTAGACAAAATATTATAATTGTTACAATATTTAAGATGACATAATTGAAATAAAGATCCTCAAGAATGACATGTCTTTTTTTGAATAGATGACAAGATATAATATATTTGGTATCATAACCTTGGAAGAGACTCCTAATATTTGGTGATTTTTAAGAGGTAAGAACAATTCTTGATGGTGCTCTATATATTTTATTTGAAGGAAGTTATAAAAGTATCAATAATGATTAAATAATAGGATAGTCTTTCTACCTTGATATGTGACATTATTAATGGGTGAGAGGACCTATCAACCATCTTCAAAGGAAACAAAGATTAAAATATGTAATAAACATAATTTGTTGTATTTTGAATTTTTTTTAATATATGATGATTGCTCCTAATAGAAGTCGTCCTTAAAAAAGAAAATAATGTCATAGACATACATGTTTATTTTAATAATTATACATATGATTAAATAGAAGTAAATAAAAATATATTTATTTCACAAGATCTTTTAGCAAAGCTTCCTAAAAGCTTCATAGATGCTACTTTGACTTTACATGTGTTTGTAATTAATTGCTAGGTTAGAAATTTGGTCAACATGTTATCTATATATTACACATGTTCGTTGCTTGTGAAAGAAGCTAACTATGTCGTGTACATATAAAAAATTTGCCGTGCAAGTTAAGACATATGTTTAATAAAGTTAACTTATGTTAGAAGTTCTATATAACATAGCCACATAGCTCCTAGTCAGATAGTATATATAGAGATAAGAGTGAAGCCTTTTGCATTTAAAAAAGTCTTTAATCTTGTTTCAAGACTTTTTAATCTTTTTGTCTTTAAAAATAGTCATTCTAGCTTAATATATTATTAAAGATAAAAATTTGATGAAAATTAGTAAGACTTTTTTCAAAGAAAGATGAAAAAATAAAACTAAATATATATATATATATATATATATATATATATATATATATATTTAAAAAAAACTAAAATGGCTATTGCAAAAAGACAAGAAAGCTAGAAATCCTTGAAATTAAACTAGAAGCAAGAAAAGAATTGAGAAAAGTAAAGAAGGCTTTATTCTTGCCTCTTTATATACTATCTTCTTGAGAGCTATGTAGTAATGTTCTATACGACCTCCAATATGTATCTAATTTGCAAGATACATATCTTAACTTATAAGACAAGTTTCCTATGTATGCTCCACATCATTACTTTGTACAACAAGCTATCAATACATACAACAAATAGCTAATTTGTTGACTAAGTTTTTAATCTCTAAATCACCTATAAACATGTATAAAGGTGAAACCACATCTGTGAAGCTTCTAGAAAGTTTTTTAAAAGATATTATTAAATTAATATATTTTTATCTATTTATATTTATTTATATTAACTACATAATTATTAGAATAAATATGTGTATCTAAAAAATTATTTCTTCTAAAATTATAACACAAATTTTAAGTAATAGACAAATTAGATACTTTATATTTAAAATTACACTTTATTTTAATGAAGATTTGTTTTGTAATATTGTAAAGAATATATTATATATTGATGTACTAAAATAGATACTTCTTATCATTTGACATGAGGTACTAATATAATATTACTATTATATTGAGATAATCAATAGAAATCTCTAAAATATAAATAATACTAATAAGTTATTTGGAAAAATTACTATAGTCTTTTGTAGAGATTTTGGCAAATTCTTCTTGTTGTTGTTAAAAGCTTAAGAAAAGAAAATTTTTATGCTTCTTAAGAATGATTAAAGATTTGGTCTAATATTAAAATTTGCAAGTTGATAAAAAATATGCCTCTAGAAGGTATATTTGATGAAAATTGATTATTTACTAAAGATCTCTAGAAGATATATATTATACAAGATTATTGCTTTTGAGAGTTTTTTTATGAAATTATTTTTTTTTAAAACATATCTAAAAATAATTCCTATTTGCATATTTAAAATGAATCAAAAATTGTAGATCTATTGAAAAATATTGTGATCCTTCCAAAACATATGAAAGTAAATTCAATACCAAAAGATTTCATTTAAGTTGTTTATTTGGAATTGAATGAAGATGGAATACTTCAAGATGAATATTTCACTGAAAGGTCTATTTTATTTGTACAAAATTGTAATATTGATGATCTAAACAAATAAGCTATAGAAATATTTTTTGAAATTTTATATGTTTATTTTAACATAGATATAATAATTATAGAAGATTAAACCGATAATGGTAATTTTTATCCAACCAAGTATTTGAATAACTTAACTCCATTTAGATTTCTACCATTTAGCTTGGAGTTCAAGATTAAATGTCTTATTATGTTATTGCAAAATATTGCTTTACATCAAAGACTTTGCAATAGATCATGCTTGATTGTTATGTAGGTAATTAATCAAATTATAGATAAAAAATATTGATTTGGATTCTAAAAAGAACATATAGTTTTTCTTCTAAGGATCACATTATGTCCATTATCTACAAAAATTTTATTCAAGTTGCAGCAAAGGCAATTTTCAATAAAGGTAGAATTTGCAATGATCATTAATAAATCTTAAAGACAATCATTGAAGAATGTAAGAATAGATATTAGGACCTCCATGTTTGAGCATAGATAGTTGTATGTTGTGCTTTCACAATTTATTTCTTTGAATATAATCAAGTTCATATATCTTAAAAATAATGAAGATAAAAATGCCACCATAAATGTAATTTATCCTAAAGTTCTTTTAACTTGGCTATTTTAGTTGTTCTAATAAATAAAAATTATGTTTGCTAATTATAATAAAAAAAATATAAATAATTTCTTTATTATGTATTATTTATTTATTTATACATTTATTTTCTTATTCAATATTTCTTTAAGAGTAGTCGATTTTTAACTAAGCAGCTAAAAATTAAAGTTTTATACATTTCTTATAAAATTATGCTTCAATTTCATTTCTATCTTTAATTTGATAGTAAAGACTTAAATATCAATAAAAATACATCAGAAACTATAATAAAATTTCATGATAAAATAATAAATAAAAAAAAATATGTTTAAGTTTAAAAATATGTATATAATAAGTTTTAGTTATGAATTAATATTTCTTTATTATTTGAGTGTCTTTTATATTTCAGAAAAAACTTCAAGAGCATCCTATCAAAAAAAAAAAAAAAAAAAATGATCATTTTGAATCAATGAATTCATTGAATATTCTTATTAATTTTTAATTTAGCCAATTTTTTTAGATTAAAGATTGATTAATTAGGAAAAAAATTGTGCAATGGCAAGATAGCTATAAAGCACCTCTTAAAAATATTTGATGTAAAGTTATGTTCAAAGGTTGCAAATCTTTTGTAAATAAAAATTTTAATCTATCTATTTGTCTATATATATATATATATACACACATATTTTTTTATTGAGTACAAACAAATGAAATCTATAAATTTAATATTTAATATATAAATATATATATATATAGTTATATATATAATAAAAAATAATCCTTATAAAATAAATATTTAATTTTTATAATAGCTATATATATCCAATAAAAACTTTATTAAAAAAAATCTTAAAGATTTATTGAGATTTTTCAAAAAAATAACACATATTAATTAATATTGTTTCTATTCCAAAACCTTTCTACAACATTATTCTTTAATTTGTAAAGATCCAACCTGAATCTAGACTATTTAAAAATATAATTAAACAACTTTGATTATTTACAAATGCATTTATCATGGACTAATTTTGCAAAAATCCCTTAAAATACTCTAAGATGAGTCAAATCGCCTTAACATACTCATATTTTATTTTTATTATGTTTATAATATATTTTTTTATTTCCTCAAAGTATTTTTAAGTATCTAAATTATGTTTTCCCATACAAAAACATTTAAAACAATCAAATGTACACTCCATTGTAATAGAAAGATTTCTAAACACTTATGTAAGTTTCAATGTTTCTCAAATTTTTATTAAATTCTCAAAATAAAACTAATTAATAACTAAATATTCTATAGTAAATAAATACATATACATATACATATATTAGAACTTCTCAATTTCAAAAATTTAACCACTACTTTTAATAATGAAGCTAAGATTGATATAAAAAAAACATAAAGCAAATATAAATTCTAACATTATGAAAAGTAGAAAACATAAATTCATTGCACTAACAATCACTTGTAAACAGTAATAGTTTAAGAATTTTCTTGCTCAATGGGTTTTTGTCTTGATTTAATGCATGATTAATTATTATAAAGTATAATTCTACAACAAATTAGAAATACTTTGAAAAAACAAAGTTAAATATATCACAATGGTATGACTTTTAAATGGTGAACATTTTTTATAAATGTATTCTAATATTCAACAATAAAAAAGAATGACTAAAATGATCTTGACACCATTCTCTCGCTCTCTCTTTCTTCGTTTATATCTACATTTTGTTCAATAAAATCTTCAATAAAAGGAGATTACGAGACCCATCCAACTAAAGAGCTCATTCCCGGGCCAGAAAAGGCGGGAAATGACTCCACTAAGTTCAAGATTCTCCGCGGCACAATTTGGCCCAAACAGGTGTTCGTGCCTTATTTCCGTCCCGCGCGGAATTCCGCCTTCCTGGTGGTCTGAAACACCCCACGCCACGACGGATTTCACTCAGAACAGGCCCTGCTCGCAATCCTCGGGCAGGGCCAGGAGCAGGTGAGAAACAATTTCGAACGAAAGAGTCGTTGGCCAATCTTGTTGCGAGATGGCTGCGGAAGTACACTCACTCGCTTGCTCACTTACTTACACACGACGACGACGACGATGAAGGTGGGCTATGGTGGCCTTGAATGATCACTCACTCACTCACTTACTCATTCCATAATCAGCTTCACCATGGCATTGAAGAAGGCTCACTCATAGCCAGCCCTACACTCCCCTTCGGTTACCTACACTGGCGCTGCGTTCTGAACTCTACACATTCGTCGTTTCTTTTTTTCTTTTTTTCTTTTTTATTTTTTTGCTCTTTAGGGTTTGCGAGTTGCAGGAGGTTTGTTACAGGTGTTGTGTGAGTTGATGATCGAGGGGAAGCGTACGAGGACGGGTTTTGGTGAAAGTTAGTGGAGACCATGACGACTGCGTTGGTGGTGTTGTGGAGTTATGAGAAGCGGGCGGGAGCACAGGAAGCAGGGGAGTGGATTTTGTATGGAGAGAGGCGAGGGTGTGGAGAGAGGCGAGGGTGAGGATAGAGTAGAGGAGTTGCTTAGAGACTTGTCAACTCATCCACACGTTGCTTATATGTGTTTGAAGGCGGAGAGTTCAGTTAGAGGAATTTGAAGCAGGTTCGGAGCGACTTGCAGAAATGGAAATGATCCTTGAGAGCAGAGTTTAGTGGTCGTTGGTGTTTGCTCAGCAGTTGTAGGAGGGGGCAGAGCTACGGTTGAAGGTGCTTGCCCTAGGATTATGTTGGTGGATGTGAGGAGGCGTTTCAGATTTTAGGAATTTCCTGCGGGAGTTGCTGTGCTGCCTCGTGGATGACCGCACTGGTTTGTGAGGGGAGGTGGTGGTTCAAAGTTCGTGAAATTGTGTGAATTAAGTACAGAGTATGGTTTTAGGTGTCCGAGTGAGACATCGAAATACATCAAGTGACACTTGTATGTAGGCGATGGAGGAAGAGAAGGCTGCGGCATATTACAATGAGCTGCTTAGCAAGGGGAGAAATGCTGCTATGTTTAAGCAAGGGCTAGGGTTTGGGAGCAGCTCAAGCAATGCCCCTGCAGCGAAATATGGAATGATCAATTTCGTTGGCGCGGGCAAGGCAGCGGAGACACGCAAGGAGCAGGAAGAGTCTCTTTCTTTCTCCAAACCAGCAGACAGGCAAGTCATTGAATTTCTTCTGAGGCTTGACCTCAACTGTTGTCTTTTTATACGATACTCACGTTTTCATTTTATATAGATACATTAAGCTTAATTTTTTATTAATTTTTTTATTTCAGGTCAAAACTTTTAATTAAATTCTGAAGTTAAGTTGATGTTGGTAGTTTAGATCAAGTTTATTCATAGTTTTATTTCACACCAACGGAGAGAGAAATAGGACTTGTGCTCTATCAAGGGAGTGGCTGAGCAAATATCCAGTTTTAACTTTTCTAGCAGATGAATGAGGGGCTTTACCACTCTGGTTCTCGAGAAGAGATAGGAAGTACGGAAATTTTGCATTCACTTGCTTAAGGGGATTTGCCTTGTTTTAATCCTTTTCTTATTCTTTCGTGATACATTTTCTTTCATATTTAAGTTCAAACATAGAACGCACGGATAGCCATGGTTGCATAATGAATATGAAACTCAATTTTTACTTGGATTGGTAACGGTCGTTTTCCTTAATTTACCTTGTTTTTTTTGAGACCAGTACACAATTTACAGCTATGTACATTCTGATATTGAGACATTATAATCAAATCGGTTTCACAACATATTCTGTTGAAGTCTAAGAATTGAGCTAAATGGCTTAATCGATAGAGACGGGGCAAAACTCATCGATATGTTCTTTACCATCATCAAAGTGTGCATACTCTTGAGGAATTCTTTCAAGTGGCTTTTCAAAACATGTTTCGCTTATGTGTCTTAACATCACTCATCGAATTAATCCCTGTCCTTCATTGAAATTTTATTTCCTATCTTCCCAGGGATGATGATAGTCGTTCTCGTGAGATTTTGAAAAGAGGCCCAGAAGATGGCAGGAGTGAATCAAAGAGGAGCTCAGAGGAGAGGGAAAAAATGGAACTTAAGAAGAACAAATGCAGATCTATAAGCCGTTCCATGGAAAGGCGAGACAGACATCGGAGTACAAGTATAGAACGTAGAAGAAGCCCTTCAAAGGATAGGCTGCACAGTCGACGGGACCGCAGTGGTAGTAGGATTAGAAGACATAGAGAAAATTTGAGAAATCCTCGGAGGGAGAGAAGTCGACGGGATCGTAGTGGAAGCAGGCAGCGTTCAAGAAGCCGGTCTAGAGAAAGAAGCCAAAGGCACTACAGAGATCGATCAAGAAGCCGGTCCAGGGACAGAAGTGAAAGGTACCATAGAGACAGGAAGAGTCGATCACGGAGTACCTCCAAAGGAAGTGGTCATAGAAGACGAGATGTACCAAGAAATAGGTCAAGAGAAAGAAGTCGACATGACTACATACACAGTAAAGGCCGGTCGAAAAGTAGATCATCTGAAAGAAGGGCTAGGGACCGAAGTCGGGATGATGACAGAAAAGACCAACATAGATCGGATTACAGACAAGAAGACAGTCGTTTGAGTCCTAACAGAAGACTGCGGCGAAGTCGATCAAATGAAGAAAGACGGAAAGGAATTAGCAAACGAGTTGAACGGGACCAAGACTGGGCAAAACTGATTCCAGACTATGATTCTCTAGTGTGTATCTCCTCTCACTTATCAAACTCCCTCAATATGCAAAAAAATACAATTGTGTACGCTATGGACTTAGCTATCCTGCGTAAAGTCTTTTTTGTCACTTTTTCTTTATAGAATGTCGTTCATCACATACGATTCTTTGTTTGCTCATGTAGTATATCATTTTTAGGCAGAATTGGAGGAAATAATCTGATTGATCAACATTCCTCAAAACTCGTGATCCTGCTTTGAAGTTACATGCTTCAGCATCCCTGCTGTGGGCAATAGTCAGGCTGTATTCCTTAAATTAAACGAGCTTTTCTTAATGTGCAGACACCGGCAGAGAAAGTGAAAGCTAAGATGAAATTGCAACTGTCTCAAACAGGTGTGTCTGGTACTGACAGCTTGAACAGTTGGTCTTTTCATGGTTTAGATAACCGATTCTGTACTTGCGACTAGTACAATTTAAACTGCCTCACTTTTATCACGTGAAACATGCTTACAAAATTGCTAAGGCAAATGTTTTGGTGGTCTTGATTGTTTGTTTCACTTCAGTTATCAAGGATTCGAGCAAAGGCGTGACAGAAGAGTGGGAGCGCTTTGATTTTAACAAAGATGCCCCTTTGGATGGTGACGCCAAGCAAGATTATTTTGGTGGTAGGAACCTTTCACAAGTTTCCATAAAGAGCTACTATCACACAACTTTGTAATCTTTTTGGTTTGCTTTGACATCTTCCGTAATTACGTTTTCCTCCTGTCTAGTCTTCTACTCTTCTTCTTCTTCTTCTTCTTCTTTTTTTCTTTTTTTTTTCTTTTTTTTTGGATGCGGTTATTTATACCTGTCAATTTCATGCGCCAGTATAATGGCAGTCTACCATGTTCTCTATTATCTAGGTCAATTGTTGCTTTGGCCGTAGCAATGGAGACTGATTTCGCACATGATTTTTGTCCAATGTGTATCGGTTGGTTGAAATTCCATGGGGATTTCTGGTGTTCTTAATGAAGTTGTTCATTAATATATTTAGGGTATTTTTATACATTTGCATTAGTTTCGTGTAAAACCTGTATTTACTTGTGCTGAGAATTTGTTATGGATGGCAGATGGCACTGGAGCAGCAAACGACACTGCCCAGCTCGATAATCTTGGAGCTTCTCATTTGGTCTTTACCGAGCAGGTAATTTGCCGAACTCAATCTAGTTCTTTAGATAGTTTGTAATCAGGAAATGCACTTGTTTACATGACAATGTTGTATTTGGAGGACTGAAAGCGTTGCAATCGTACCTAGTGTTCTTAGATATCTGTGTCTTTACTAAGACTCATCTTGTACCTTACACGGCTCAACTTTTGCAGGCTAGAAGGGAAGCTCAATTACAAGCTGCTCATGAAGCAGCAATCTTTGGTGCTCCTGTGGTGGAAGATAAAGGTACCAAGCGACGATCTACGTGGAGAGTTCGGGAGGACACTGGTCCTAGTAAAGGTTACAGTGGTGTTGATGACGATACTCATGATAACGCATCAACTAAAGTGTATGGGGTGGTCAGTGAACAGGTGCAGTGAATCGTTCTGTACATGTTATTTCTACTGTGTTGAACTTCCTAGTATGCTTTATATCTTGAGGTTGAGATTAATGTTCTATGAGTTTATTAATGTCCCTCATATGTGGTTTACAAAATTTCTTCTTGCGAAAGATTAATTTTATCAAATGGCTATGCATGTAGCTTAGAATATTGAAAAAAAATAGTTAGATTCATGATGCAAAACCCTTGCAGATTATTGCCCTTCAAACAGGGTCTTCTTGGCAAGACAGAATCAAGAAGATGCGGGCTGCTCAAGCACAAGGTACATCTTCTGCAATTTGTTGGGTATGACAATGGTCAGTCTTAATAGAAGGGTGAAGTTTGGCGACACAAGTTATTACTCATGGTCAGATATCTTGTTCATTTTTTTCCGAATCTATTGTTAACTGCGATGGATTGAGCACTTGCTGAGATGGCCTTGCTGAAGTGATGGTAATTCCTAAATTTTCTTGATAGAAAAGTTATGTTCTAGACCGTCTGCTATTTTCTCTGGAATTCTCTAGAATCACACATGACGTGGTTCTTTCTCCAATAGTTTCATTAGTTGGCTGTAGTTGTAAGAAATGTGCAAGAAATAAGCATTAGTTATGTTGGATATTGTTAAGACATAGTGTCACTTTGATCTTATTGGGTGGTTGTACGGTATTTACTTTCTTATTCCAGGTGAGAGTTGAGAAGTTGGAGCAAGAGTAGAATGCTTACCGTGTGTGCTTGAATGCACTTGGGAATAACTGGTGATGGTGATGTTGTACTTCGCGATCCCCGAGAAGGATAAGAGGACCCTCAACATGGACTTGGCTTTTGATAACCAAGTTGACTTGCTACTCAATGTGAGATCTGAAAGATGTTACAGTTTCATGTATGGAACGAACCAGCAGCAGGTTCTTTGATTCATTGATGTTGCAAGTATGAAGTGAAATTTAGAGATGCAGTTAGGAACTTCTCACGGATCGGTGAGCTCACCTTAACGGCATCTTAATGCCTAGGCCATTCAAGCTTATGGTCAAATGCGGAGGCTTATGCTATGATAAGCAGCATGAAATCTTTGGGTGTGTTATCAAATGTTCAAAAGCTGTACAGATGCTTCGATGAATCTCATGAATATATTAAGTGAATTTTCGATAGCATTCTGAGATATGAGCGGCACTACGTGATTTCACTTTTTTCCCACTTCCTTACGAAAGTCAAAGAAAACGAATTTATTCATCTACCGTACCAACAAGCATCTTGAAGTTGTATAAAGGGATGCCATCTTTCCTCGACCACTCTTCCTGGCGAAATCTAAGCAAGAATTGTATCGGAGGCGCTGCTGAAATTTTGTAACGCAACAAGAGGGCCAATTGTCTACTTGATGGCAAAAGTGGGTGTAAATTCTCTTCGTACACTCTTATGCTGAGATTACTCGCAATACTTGGTGTGATTTGTTTTCGTACCCCCGAAAAGCTGCACGATGGGATTGACACTCAAGTTGGGAATTGCCATGGGGCTTCGTGGGTGTTACAGGGCTTAAACGGTCTGTTAAGCAGTGGAAGATCAGTGTGCAGCTGGTTGGAATTCATGATTCTAATATTCCGCCGCAGTGTCGAGGGAATCCGATCATATCCGATTGTCACTGATCATTGTTTCCATTGGATGTGAACCATCCTCACATGCCGAGGATGCCACAGTGAAGTCGTCCATCACTCCGATACTCTCCATCCCAATCCACCTCAGCTTCAGTTGTAGCAATATAAATCCAAAATGTGCACAAAAGACAACCATTTCTTTCATATTCCGTTTTTCATTTGTGAACATAATTGGATTTTTTGCTAATTTTGGTTCCAGCTTGCGGCACAACAACCCAAGTGGTCTAATCATGCAAGTGGTCAATGATAATTTCTATTGATAAATACAGCCTTTCTTTTGTGTAAGAAGTTTATTAAAAGAAAACTAATCAAATTGTCCTAATATGAAAAATCTTTTTAAATTGACCTACGAATACATGGCGTAAATACTTGAAGTTTAAATATAGGTTGATGTGTGGATGAATATGTAGCTGTAAAATGCAAGTGATAAAATTGGGTTCTTGCAGATAAACCTACTTTGCACGCTTCAGCATTCTACATGCGCAATTGTGGAATGTATCTTAAATTTATTAACAATAACAATCCGTATCACCGACAAATGCAATAGCAGTTAATCTGCGCAAAAGATGAATGAATTGGTGTTTCCTAATCATTATAAAATACTGTAAAAAGTGTATACATTTATGTACAAACTCATCAGGATAATTAAACTGCACTTCAGGCACTCTTTGTATATTATGATGGGATCCATATCAATCAAAGTGGCATGAAACTCAGTTAACTATATTCAGATTTCACTGACTTGTGAAGTGCTATTACTAAAAAGTTAATAAATAAATAAATTACTCGTTCAATGATGCTATTCCCATTGCAATGTTGTTACTTTTTTCCAATTTTAATGAAACTGAAATTAACAAAATTTGCACTGCCATTCTTTTGTTTAATAACGTCTAAAAAGAAGTTAATACTATTTCATGTTAAAATCAAACATCAATCACGTTTTAAATTTATTAAATCAACAAGGTTTTCAAAATATCTAGTCAAAATTTTAATTCTTAAGTATTTATTTATTTATTTATTTATTTATTTTTGAATGGATTGTTATAATATAATATGAGTTTTTTTAATTTTGGAATTTCAATTGATTCCTATTATGATCCAACAAGTATGTAGATGATATAGAAATCACACGTTTTCGAATATTCCCTTCTATTATAGAATATTCAAAACATACTTAGAAATTCACTTGTCCGAATGATTTCAAATGGCATCATCTAAACACAGAATGAAAAAAGGAAGAATGAAAGACCAACAAGTACCCAAACACCAATTCAAAGAGAAAAAGAAAAAAAAAAAAAAAAAAAAAAAAAAATTTACTCATCAGAGTATTTTTATGCATTTTTTGCAAGTAGTTAACAAACAGATTAGATTTCAACAACAAAGTCCCAAATGATGACATGGATTTGGACAGAGCAAAAAAAATTAAAAAAACAACGAAAAAAATAAATAAAAACCCAAATCAAGAATACGAGTTTAAGACTTGAAATGAATAGTTTTATATTTAATTTTAAAATTTTTCATAACAAAGTTTTGAAATAAAAAATGGTGCTCTACAAAGTAATTCATCCATCCGCAATACATGTTCATTCATCCATCCGCAATACATGTTCATTCATCCATCCTCCTCCTCCTTGTGACAAACTCCAGAGAGAGCGTGAACGACTGGAATCCCACGTGGCATTACCAGAAGGTGATTTTTTTACCCTTTGGTAATATATAGGTAAGCAAATTAATTAATTACCGGGCCCTCCTCATTTCTTACCCGTTGGGAAAGGGGGGTTCATCCACAGTTACATTCATCCATAAGACGAAGAATGGGTGGGGGAGGGTTGTGGGTATTGTACACACACTGGAATTGACTTGGTTGGTAGGCAGCATTTCACATTTACTTTTTCGCCCGGGTACTGCCCGGGTGGAGATGGGGACAACTAGTTTCTCCACTGGTACTACTTACTACTTGCTCGGAGGAGGAAGAGGCGGAAAGGGTAAATACGCCTCTCTCTCTCTCTCTCTCTCTACCCTGGTTAGACCCTGAACTAGACATACTTACCCTTCTGGAATGTATGTACACTATTCCAAATACGTATATATCATACGTATTTTCTGTATTGAATGTATGCTGCTGCTGGGCCTCCAGAACACAGAAAGGAAAAGGATCTACACAACCTGTTCTTCAGTGCTTTTTTCTCCTTGTCAGACTTTTTATTTTACTTCTTAATGTTGACTTCTTTTTTTCTTTTTCTTTTTCTTTTTCTTTTTTTTCCCCCTCCTGAAGGTTAGAGGAGTGGAATTCATACACCCCCACCTGTGTGCATTCCAGGAAAGAATGTCTTCCCAGTTTCAGCAGAGATGGGGTGCATTCACGGAATTGTCTCCTTCTCCATTGACTGAACCTTCTGTTAATTTTGTATTTTGTATTTTTATTTGTTTATTTATTATAGATATTCTATGCCCTTTTGCCATGCAGAGCTTGGAGGGGGGATCAGCTGCAAGTCCCCTGGTTACACAGAGACATCCATCCCTTTGGTTCTGGTATGGAATATGGCATCCAGGAAGGAACAAGTTGCATCCCTCCCTCATGCTCTCAGAGTTCCATGCTCATCACAGTGTGATGGTGGGGTGCCAGCTAATTCGGGATCCTGGATTTGGGATGTGGAAGCATGTGAGTGAGGATGGTGCTTAAGAACATTCCACATTCCCAACTTGAGTCTGCCCAACCCAAAAAGAAAGAACAAATTATAAAATTATAAAATTACATATGAAATGAAGAAATTAGGGGAGTATGTGTTGGCAAATGAGGTGGACAGATTGAATTGGTGGAAGAGTGTTGAACTGGGAAGTAAAGGGGAGGTTCATGGGAGTGATCAGTATGCCACGTAAGCCAGCCAGGTCATCATCAGCACACTGTGCTTTTTGTAGAGGGATAAGTTCCATTCATTCATTCACTCACTCATTCATTCATTTTTGTGTTCAATCATTTGTACCTGAGCATCCAATTTTTGAACATGTTACGGTGTGCTCCCTTGGCCAACCTTATCATTTGACTCCCCAGAACACCAAATCAATCAATAAACAAATAAATAAATGAACCCTGGTGATCTGAAGTCAATGCCTTGCCCATGCACATGAAAATATGACTCTGAAAACTATATCCCCCTATTTTATCAAAACAAACTCAATAAGAGGGGGAAAAGGAAAAGGAAAACAAGCAAGATTTGGTATATTTAGACAATGCAGATTGGATTGTGAAACACAAATCACACTCACACACATATATACACCTAGATGTAAACAACTAGAAAGTAAGGTGGCATAAAACAAAAGGAACCAAGCTGGCAAGTACTTGATTAGCATGAGGAGTTCTCTTTTTAAAACAAAGTGCTAATAAAAGCCCAATCGAAAAAGTGATGAGGAGGGGGAGCTTCATTGCTTAACCTTTGCTCCACCAATCCCCCCCCCCTCCCCACAACTCCATTTGTCTTAACCACAAAAGTTAGGTCCGAGAAAGAAATCAGAAAGAAGCGGGAAAGAGAGAAGTAAGAAAGAAAAAGAAACGTAGCCGTAGAAGAAGGTGATACATTAAGGGAAAAGGAAGAATAGTCAGCGTATTTCTTTTTCTTTTTTGATCCACTCCCTTTTAGCGCCCGCCTCCAGGAATGGAGGGCTGACGCAGGGAATCGCTTAAGGAACCAAGGTCCTGTTCTCGTCTTCGTGGCCAGAAGACGCCGCATCATGAAGCGCGCAGGAGGAGGAGGAGGACGAGGAGCAGCACAGTCAAGCTCTGTGCCTGTCCAACGCTCGCCGCTCGCAGCCTGGAGGCAGAGAGGCGCCGCAAACAGGGAGAAGCAGAAGGAGGGAGGAAAAGGGGAAGTGAAGCGAAGGGGAAGGGCTGCCTGCTGGCTGGCCCTTCAGACATGGCATCATCAATTCACCCACGACACGCAATCTTCGACTTTAATCCATCCACTTCCTTCTCAGACAGCAAGAACAACCCCGAGAACAATATCAGCCCCGGGAGATTTGCCGTTGCATCTTTAGAACGCCGGCTGTCGCTTCTGGAGGACCTTCATGATTGGTCTCCTCCATATTTAGCCTGCTCCGTTCGGCGTGATGCTTGCCGAACACCTCAACTCTGTACCTTCGAGACCCTATTTCACGACGCTCCGGATCTGTGCGACTTCCTCGCTCCGTCTTTCCAACTTCGGTCCCGCCGGCGTCCCCCCCCCCCCTCCACACTCCAATCGGGAACCCCCGCGCAGTCCTTGAAATATCCGCAAATCGCTTCGCCATTTTGGTAGGGTTTTGTGTGTGTGTGTGTGGATGATGTGGGTGGACGCGCTCTTTGCTTTGTTCCATGTCATCAACTGGTCAACATTTTTTTTGCTTCCTGAGCAATTTATATTATTCCTCTCTTATTCCTTGTCGGTTATATATAAATTAATAGTAGTCAGCTTGGCGCATGTTTTGGACTTATTCAAATTAATACAGACGGATCAACTTGGTTGGACTATTGTTCAACAAGTTGTTAGTTTCACTTGTTGACCGTACATGCTCGTGCCTGTTGAATTGGCACTTTGATTTTGAGTTTTCTTTTTTAAGTAGATGGGTGGTATGTAACTGGAACAAAGACAAAATATTAACAAGATATCAAGATTTGATGATGGCATTGTAAAACCATTCGCCACCTCTTTCTTTCCCCATTGTTTATTTATTCATTTAATTTACTTTTAAATTCTCATAAACCTCTGTTTACATTGGAAAGTTATAAACTAAATAATTGGTGGGTTCCATGAGTTTATAGCAGCATAGTGTTTAAGTTTTACTCTAGTCTGAAAAATTCCCCTAACAATGAACATAACACTATACATACATGTAAAAGTGTTTTTTTTTTTTTTTTTTTTTTTTTTTTTTTCTCTCTCTCTCTCTCTCTCTCTCTCTCTATATATATTATATATTATGTTATTTGTGTGGCTAATTCAATAATGATGAGATGGAAATTTACAAGCAGTTGACTCAAGTTCATATTAACTCAGGGATGCTAAGGTGATTTTATCATTGTAAAATTCAACAATGTGGTTACCATTGGGTTCTGATGGAAGGTGCCCAAAATCAAGTATGCATGTTTTATGCATGTCTCCGATAAGACAAATATGATCACTACAATAATAGTAGATGGAAGAAGTTTTGAGTAAAATAAAACAAAAATAATATAGACCTATGCAATCTTTAAAGCTATATATTGGATGCAGTGGTAATGCAGTGTGTGTGGTTAGTGCATCCTTCTTCTGGGTTGACCAGTGGTGTATGATGACAGCCCTTTTTTTTGTTGTTTGAGGGCTTTACGGCTAAAAAAATAGAAATTCAGGACAACATATGGGTGTTTTCATTTGCTATTAAAAAGGGAGTGATAAGCTTTCAGAACACATGGGCTTGCTTGCAAGCTTGCCAAGTGAGCAGACAGTGACAGGATGACCCACACCCCTCCTGTTTCTAGTTTAAGAACACAAATTCAGTGGCCGAGAAGAGATTTCAACCCTTTGTGAACTTTCCCCTTCAGTTGTGTCCTTCCATCAGGGAAAGAATAACACACACAAGAAAAAGTTATTTGTATATATATTACATTACCACTGTAGCTACAACACCCTGAGGAGCAAAACCCATGTTTTCTTTTGTGGGGGGGATGTAGAGTCCGTTTATTTTTGACTCAGGTACTGCTGCTGCCTGTGTGGCAACATGACAGTGCCCCATGATGGAAGGAATATACCATTTGTGCAACACAAGAGAATGGATGAACATGCTGCTGTACAGATGCACGGAATGAGGGTTGGATGTATGGGGAGGTGGGAGAAGCACGATGGCCTTTCTCTCATGGTCCCCATTCATTGATGATGGCATCATGAAGTATGTTCAGTGTGGTATGTGTGTTTTCCTCACTCTCTCTAGTTCCTCTTTCTTCTTCTCCTCCTGGTCCCTCATTTTCCACTACTACACTGTCTGGCCCACTTCCACCAATCCCAAGCTCAACTGGTGCATGCTGGTTGCAGCAGCCTCCAGAGTGTGAATTCTGTTGGGTGCTCAAAAAGTGTTTGTTTAGCTCCTTAGTGCCTGTTTCCAAGCACCCATGTGGACCTCATTCATGTGAAAAAGACACACAATTTTTTTAAACACATAACATACAAAATCCCACAAATTCATCCCACCACCACTTTCTGAATAGCCTTCACCTAGTGTGAACATACACATTATCTATCTATCTATCTATCTATCTATCTATATATATTTTGAAGTTTTTTGTATGCATGAGGCATCATTAAGGGAAGATCGACATTCCTTTTACAATTCTTATTTCTCCTCGTTTTCTGCTTACCTGGGGATGTGAAGTAGTATGATTTCTTCGAGAGGAAAGTGGCCGCAGGAGAGGGTGCGTTGGAAAGTCAAGGAATAAGAGGATTGAGATGCATGGCAGTGGGGCTCTTCATCCGCCCCAATTGTGCACCAAATTACGCAGGAGGGGGGGCTGCGTAGGCCGGAGGCACACTGCAGATTCTAGGAGGGACGGGGGGATTCAGAAATCGGGGAAGTTAGCCGAGGTGGTGGATGAGGCACCACACGTAGGTGGCAGGCAGGCAGGCAGTGCAACCGGGTCTCGCCCCTCGTCAGTGGAATGCACAGAGCCGCCCTTTTCTCTAGCCGCTTTGTTCTCTCGAGGATCCGGACGCTCATGCGAGACTTGTGACTCCCCGACACCGGGTAGATCGATTCCCGTTATATTCTCTCTCTCCCCCCCCTTCCTAAACCTCTCCTAGCCACTCCTTGATCGCAGCCCCTCTTCTCCATTTCATCAGACTCTCGTCTAGCACTAGCCCTTCCTGGGTCTTCAATCCAGACATGGTTATTTTCACCCCCTTCCCCTTTTCTACAACTCGATCCCCTTCTGACAACCATTTGAGCCCGCCATCACCGTCTCGTAGTGTCTGTCCTGCTGCCTGCGCGGTGACTGCGTCGGAGGTCTCTCAGATTCCTGTGTAGGAGTTGCGTCACCGTGCTCTCTCTTTGAAGGTTGTCATTACGTTGATTGCAGTGGGTCAGCAGGTTAGACTGTGAACGCTCTGGATACTTAAATACATGAATTTGGGATTTTGACGAGTTTGGGTAGTATGTAGGCCGATGGATAATCTCATCTAAGGCTGTTAAAGAGTTTAAAGATCTTTCTATGTTGTGCTCGCTCTCTTACTGTCTGTCCGTCTCACACATTCACTCACTCACTCACTCACTCACTCACTCATAGAAAATACTTGGGCTCCCTCTCTTTCTGTCTTACATATATATATACACCCACTCTCGGTCGAGCGGAGACGTATTCTCGATAACTGGGTCCTCAAGTGTGTCAAGGTTTGTTGTCAGTTTTGATCGGCATTTATAAGCCCGCTCCGCGCGCGGGGTACGATATTGGAAAACAGTGTGAATGGTTCAATGCACTTAAAGGAGCAGATACTGAGTGCATTGACTGGAACTGTGCACAACTGTGCCCTCGAACTGGCCACAAGTTTCGACTCCACAGGACGGCTGTCTGTGAAGGTAACGTCAACGATAGCCCCAGTTTCACTAACCTTCTTCAAAACCCAGATTACATGTGTCCACAACGACGTTGTCAAGAATCCGCTGGTGGAAATCTGCGAAGGTCTTCCCGGGTTCCCCCCCAGGAAATGGTTTAACCTTTCTCATGTCAAAATCATCCTGCGGTCATGCTTCGATGTAGATGCAGCACTGTCCTTTGCATTTGGTGATCTTTAATATGATGCTTGACAATGTTGAAAACCTTCTCCGCCATATGCTTCCCGACGGTGTATTGCAGATGCATTGATAGTCCTTGTAACTGCAGAACCTCTATCCGATGAGAACCCCCAGCAAGTCTTTTTGAAGACCTTCAGGCTCTCCAAGAATTTAAAACTATGAGAAACTTTGAATCGCGAATGTCAAAGACTCCGATTACTTTTGAATCTTGAGGTGATGACGGCTGCCACTGGCTGTCACTTCATGGAACCCCTCTCCCTGTAGTTCTTATACGTATATATATATTTGTATACACATGGGGTTGGTTCGATTTGGTTGAATATTTCAATTCAGTATGTTCAGAAATGATCAGATGGGACGTGTCGATAACTCCTCCGAGGACAAGAAACTGACAAATTATCAGTTCTTCACGTCCACGTATCTACAACCCTCGAGATTACGGTCCTGAATGCCAGCTCAAGAGTATTGGATTGGCACCACCCTGCTTCGTACCTAGTACAACGCACCAAATTCAATCCCTATAATGGCAATCCCAGTATAATATACCCCTGGCTCCTGAGGAATCCCCCAGCCCTGCATGCTTCATATGCCCTCAATATTCGTAAGACTCATAAAGCCAGCGTTCATGGGAATGGTAGCATAGTTACTTATGGCTGTAGAAAACTGTGAGCCTCATCACTACGAGTTGTACTCCGACGAGTGTACTGCTTTAAGGCTGCTGTTCATATGTGTGTGTACGTCGCAACACAAGCCTGCTCCAGTAAGGATGATGACGTCCCAGTACATCTATTCCTCCTCGAGATTCAAGAGTAATCAACTTCTGATTTGATAATGTTAATTACGATTGAATTTATATCTGTACTTAAGCTAGCATTAGGACATAATGTTATGCCCTGGGTAAGTCATATCGGAATTTTGTGCTAGATATTGCGGGCATCCAATCTTCGCCGAAGAGGGTTTGGGTTTCGTAGCCTTCTCCCGGAGTCTAGATTTCAAGTCCAGTGCTGGGGTCGTGTAACTTTGGTTTCAGTAAATAGAATGTCAATTTCCAGGGCGTGAAGGACAGGTGTGTGTGGACTGTCTTGTAGATCAAGGCTTTTGTACAGACGTTGCATGGGTTAGGTACTTCCAGTGTACTCTGAATATGGCTGGGTGTAGCTGCTCTGCCAACTTACTCATCATTACGCATGATCACCCGACCTCAGTAATGTAATTCTTCTCTTGTGTAATGTGCATGGAATATTGTAGTTTAGTTAGACGAAATCATATGCGAAAATACAAAAAAAAGAATATATAGGAAAAAAGAAAAGAATAGAAGGAAAAAACTCCTTGAATCCTTACGTCAACGTCCCCATGTAAAGCTGGTACGTCGACTAAAGCCTGGATGTGATACAGTTTTTTTTTTTTTTTTTTTTTTTTTTTTTTTCGGAACTGGAACCTTTGTAGGTGAGTTGGTTGCGATCCTCTTCGTCCTCTTTTCGTTTTTGTTATTCTATGACATTAGAATTTGTTTTGACACCTAGAATTCTCAGTTTATCATTGCGCTATAAAATTTGTTCCTTTAGCATGTGGGGTGACTTCTTCAGTTTGTAAGTCCGTGGTATTGCGTCCCCAGCTTCCCTTCCAATCCCAAATACCGAACTGATAAACAGCTCGGTTCATCATTTTCACATGTTTAGTGAGCGCAGAACCCTTTCCAGGTAAGTTCGTCCCATCGATGGACATGTAGCTCATGCAGCCATGCGGCAGGATCAGATGCCGCGTCATGTCTTGAGCAGTGGTTCTGGTCTAGCTTTAGTATTTCCCAGCGTTTTTCTGTGTGTCATTCCACGTCAATCATACTCATAGTTTGGATCGTCTGGGCTGACGATGACCTCAGGACGCGTTGCCCTTCGCCTGTGTAACGTATGAGTTTCCTCGGTCTGTCAGTCAGTATTTAGTCTGCTGGGTTTGCCGTAAGGCAATTTTTTGTAGCCTAATATCATGGCTGATCTTAGATGACAACGCGGCGCCGGTAATCTGTGAATGTTCCACAAAGTGACGTACTGAAGTTTGAGGTTTACGGTAATGCCGATATCCCGGTCAGCTTAGACGCTCAGGATTTTGCCGTGTGGAGTTGGCACGTCCATTGATCATCAAAGACGTTCTTCTCCCTGAGGTTGTAGTCGACGAAGTTTAGCTTAATTTCTTGGTTTCGAGATTGTTTCACAGCCGTCGGTCGCTAATCTTGCTAACTCGACTTTGGATCATACACAGACATCTGAAGCGTTGAACATAGATTCCTGGGTTCAATCGCTTCAGTTGACATATTCTGGCCGTTACCACTTACAGCAGAAGGCGGTGGTGGAGGCCGTCTGTGCGCTCCATTACACGCCTTGCAGACGTATAGGAGCATCTTGATGAGCCTGTCCTGCTCAAATCGTCAAAGCCTGAATGTGATGTCATTTTCGGCTCACATGATCCTTGGCTTCTTTTTAGCGACGGACTTTTGTAAAGTGGACTGAACTAGATGCGCTGCTCATTCCAGACTTTGAATTAGTGGTACTGTTCGCAAATATTTTCTTAGGTCCGACTTTAACCCGACCCTACACTCCCTTTTTGTTTGTTGTTTGGTGACGGATGCTTGCCCCTCATGATGCGAGTGTTTATATCTGCCGAGGCACAGTTTGATACCGGTTCTTCGCCCTCGAGGGATTTCAATCCAGTTACCAGGTTCTTCAAGAGTCATGCGAAACCTGCATTTGGAAGATGGGTTTAGTGAGAACCTGTTGGTGCATGCCAGATATCAAGTTTATGAGTTATGTCATCGCTACAGTTCGCCGTTTACCAAGTGTCTGTCTTCTCTTTTGTTTCTCAGTTCTTTCCGACCTAGAAAGCTTTGCCGATTTGGAATGTGGTCTTACGGAGGGGAGAGTGCATGCACCCTTTTCATCTCAGTGAAAGCTGCGCCTGTTCTGAAGTGTTCTTAAAGTACGAGTGCGAACGCTTTAGATCTGCTTATTCCTCCTCACTGTCTCGTCTGAGTTAGAGGGAGTTGTATTGGTCCAGGAATGAGATTTTTGGTTGAAAGTATTGACGTTCAATCCTTTCTGAGATATTAGGATTTTGAACAAGGGTTTAAAGCATTGCAGGCAGGTGATTGCATTTGTATTAACCGAGTAGTACAATTCGAGTTTGTGTGTCATTTCGCAGAATATTGGTGGTTGGGGTTCCATGATATTGTTCACTGCTTTGATGTTTTTATTTGTGTGATTGTGATTTTATCATGATCAAACGCAAACAAAAGTATTCTTCTGTTGCTGCTGTATCACGTTTTACTGTGGGTTGAAGAATGTTGCAGTCTAACAATGTGGTTCTCTAGAAGGACTGTCTAAGGCGACGGAATATTTCAGGCCTCTGTTGGGCTGTGTTTATTATTTCTTTTTTGTTTCTTCTTCTTCTTCTTCTTCTTCTTCTTTTACCTCATTCATATATATATATATATATATATATATATATATGTGTATGGATTTGTGAATGATATGAATTCACAGTTTTAATCATAACCTTGGATGCTGGGGGATACTCTGAATGAAATAGTTTTCCCCTACAGCAGTTATTCACGAAGTTGCTTTGAGCAATACCCGATATTACCATGGCTCAAGCTTATTGAATCTTTCAAATTCCGCTTCCCTCGCACATGACTAAATCTAACATAATTTCTAAACTGCTGATTTTGTCCCATCGGTGTGTCAGGAAAGACTTCGACTCGTCAGCTGTAACTTCAGTTTCGAAATCCCAGCTTGGACAGAACTTCGTTTTATCTAGACGGAGGTCACCAGGACTGGTAACACGTCAAGAATTGGCATCGGCTCTTCAATTAGTACTATTGAACTTTCCGAGGACGTGCTATGGCGTCGCAATCCAATTCCGACATGTGGATGGGCGCTGCATCATCAGAAATCAGGTTCAGTTCATGATCACCCCTGCATTTCCTTCCAACAACCATTCTCATTACGAACAGGAGTTCTGCTGGTTTCTGTGATTGATAAAGACTCGGTTCGGAGTTAAATCACTTGGAATAAATCCATGAATGTGTTTTTTTTATTTTTTATTTTATTTTCCCATAGTTTGCCTTCGAATCCTGCGCTGGAGCTAGAGGAAGAGACCTCATGGAAGGTATCGACATCCTCTCAAAGCACATCCAACATTGAAGTCAAAGTAAGTTTCTCTGATAATGCCCACACACCCATGGTCTTCTGCCTTGAGCATGATTTGCACTTGTTTATGCGTTGGCTTCGATTACCAAATCAAGTTGATCCATCGATTGCTAATTTGCAGACTGGAGTGCAGGAAAATGTAGGAACACCAAGTTTCAGCAAGGGCGTGCTGGACGAGGAGTGGTACACGCCCGAGACCTCCTTAATGGAGCTCTCTTACTCATTACCATATGGGATATCCGATACTCGCACAGGCTTTGGAATGCTCGAGTCGTCGCTGAATTTTGACAGCAGCAGCAACCTCATGTCTAGCTTCCGCCCTGCTCCCTCAGCCTTGAGCATGGGCCTTGAGAGCAACCGCAGTCTGGAGGATCTCGTTTGCACTGGTCAGGGCTCGAGCAACGTTGGCCTCCTCTCAAGTCTTTCTCCAGGTCTTGTGGTCTTGTCCCATTTTTCAGCAATTGTACACTTGTGATATCCGTTTCTCAACACATACACCGCAGCATTTTATAAAATTCATCTCAACAATGGATGAGAACCATGGTACCTGCTCAACTTACAAGGTCCTCAAGTAGGGAATTGAAGGATATCCTGTTGGTTGTGATTGCAGGCGGTCAACTCGGCCGGAGCACCGTAATGGAAAGCTTCAGCTCAGGTCTGCCAACAAGCTTCAACCAAGGAATCATCAACGCTGGTGGAAGCATAACCAACATCACCAGTAGCAACATAAATAACGTCCGCTCTAACTTCCCCCTCATGGCCTCACCTTCGAACTTTTCCGATGCGTACCGCGCTCGATCAGTGAGCGAAGACAAGTCTGGGAAAGTTGTTGGCTCTGGCGGCCCACGGAATGAACTTGTGCCATATCACAGAAACAAGGGGGCGGAAACTCGGAGCCATGGTCAGGGTCAGCAAACTCTATTCTTGAAGCGCGCAGCTTCTCGCCGTTGTGCGGGGTCTAGTGGGACTGTCTCTCCAGTGAGCAAGTCACCCCCACGCGTGGTCACTAGTGCCTCCAACGATTCTTCTGTGGACACGCCGGATAAAGACAGCCCTCATCCGCGTAATGCTCACTTGCAGAGCGCATCTGGAAGATTAAATATCAACTCCGGATCGGATGATCCCAACGACATGGGATTAGATGGTGACGACTACGATGCCAAAGACGACGATGATTTGGATGAGAGTGGTGACGGCTCAGGGGGGCCCTACGAGGTGGAAGAAGGCGCAGGCAATGGAGCAGATCAAAGCATTGGAAAGGGAAACGGCAAAGGGAAACGAGGACTTCCTGCGAAAAACCTCATGGCTGAGCGCAGGCGCCGCAAAAAACTCAACGATCGCCTGTACACGCTACGGTCTGTAGTTCCTAAGATTACAAAGGTGCTTCCAAACTCTATCTTTGAACATGTTGCCCGCCTCGATTGCTGAATTGCACATCATGTATGTTGAGATGTCCACTTACGAATCAGTGGGGTGTGGAGTACAGATGGATAGAGCCTCCATATTGGGGGATGCGATTGAGTACCTAAAGGAGCTCCTGCAACGCATCAATGAAATCCATAACGAACTGGAAGCAGCAAAGCTGGAGCAGTCGCGGTCGATGCCGTCTAGCCCCACTCCACGATCCACCCAAGGTTATCCAGCTACAGTTAAAGAAGAATGCCCCGTCTTGCCGAATCCTGAATCCCAGCCTCCTCGAGTATGTTGTTTATAATTTCTCACCTTCTTGGAATTGCATCTCAGTACTTATTTCGCAATGCCAACGACGTTCTGAAATGTCTACACTTTGCACTGTTCTGAAGTTCTGGAATGCTGAACATAGTTTACTTTGCACATTGTTTCATAGGTGGAAGTGAGGAAAAGAGAAGGTCAGGCCCTCAACATTCATATGTTCTGTGCCCGCCGGCCTGGACTCCTCCTCTCTACTGTGAAGGCGCTGGACGCCCTTGGCTTGGATGTACAACAGGCTGTCATCAGCTGCTTCAATGGTTTCGCCCTTGACCTCTTCCGTGCAGAGGTAAGAGTCTTTCGCCTCAAGAATTCGATGTGATTGCAACTAATAGAGTTTGTGCGTTGACATGGGCGGGAAATGTACATCGGTTGTCTTATTTAGCTGTGTTAGGCCTCAAGCTGAAGATCACCTTGGGTGTGGGTTATTGCTGTGGGCAGGCCAAAGATGTGGACGTTGGACCAGAAGAAATAAAGGCCGTTCTGCTGCTCACTGCGGGATGTGATTTGCACTCTTTGCAGTAGATCCCACAATGCAGACGGACAAGTTGAATGAATTCTCTTCTTTTCTGCATGGGAAACAAAACACAAATTGATACGAGTGTGGTTTCAAAGTCTCTCCTCACCAGGCAGTGTTCTTCAATTTTCACCATACAAGCTAAAAAATTTGACGCTACCTAAATTCAGTGGTTTGAACCTGACATTGTTGTAGGCTGTACTCAGCTTTTTCTGTTTTTGTATAACTTAGTATACGGTAAAGGCCCACAGAGCAGAGAACGGTGGGACCTTCACGGTACTGCCACTAGACCAAGCCTTGAAAACGTTATGCAGGTGAAATGTTTCTGTACATCATCTTCAAGACTTGTGTGCTGTGTGTGCCTCTATGTGTTTGCCTATGTAACCAAGTTGTCCGTTGCTATCCAACACCTGCCAGGCTTGTCGGGTCTGTGTGAGGAGGCTGAATAAAGCGTGAAACCTTTCGTGTCGTAAAAATGGATTCAAAATCATTCTCAGAAGTCGTGTGTGCAGATACCACTACCCTGTTTGCGATAATTGCCCTAAACCCTTCACTGTTTTCTTCCGTTGTGATTCCTTGAAAACACAACATAATTCCTTGATTTCAGAGCTAGGAGATTTCCAGAAACGCCTGTGTTTATAACGAAGGAGTTAACGGCACAACCCGCAAATTAGGTCGTTGAGCCGTACAGTCCGTGCTAGAAAAATTCTGCTTATGCGGAGGAACAAACTGAAGTTTTCTTGGATCAGAGAAATATATGTACGCTGAGAGCATAGGCTTCCGAACTGAATTATCTTCAAACTCGATTGTCCGATCGATATCCCAACCATTCGAGAGTCTAAAGCATTCCGTCCAGAGCTAGAGCTGAAGACACTGCTGCTTCCTTCTCTTCTACTTTCCCCGCGACTGAAACAGAAACATAAATTGGGTCTTGGCAAAATTCTGATCAACACAACTGGGAGAACATTAGACGTCTGAGTGTAACGCTGCACCATTCCAGCATGTAGCGCTCGCACTCTAAAAAAAACCCAGAGGGATGCTTAGGATTCCGAAAACAAAAAGGGGCGTTCACCAATAAAGGAGAGCAGGATGGCGGGAAAGAAAAATGAGGAGAAGTTGAAAAGTAACCGAAAAGAAAAAAAAGAAATAGAAGGGATGAAAAAACGGGGGATTCTCGGCGCGGAGATAATGTCACGAGAGTGCTCGTCTTTCCGGTCTCTTGCGTTGCTTTCAAGATGCACGCCACGTAAACCTTATTGTATGTGAATTTTGAGGACTGTGAGGACCCATCTGGGCGAAACTTAATTCTGGCACATTATTGTTGAGCATGGGAGCCGAGGATTGTTCGACTGTGGTCTATTGGTTGTAGTTTAGGAAGGAGCCAATGGTGATGTGTCTCTCGGGGCTGGGTTGCTTCGATCATGCTTGAAGCGAAGGCGCCGTTGCTGCTGCAGCAGCAGCAGCAACAACAGTATCATCAAGTCGCTAATGCTGCGTCTTCTTTTTTGGATGCTGCGAATTCGACGTCGTCTGGCGACGATGCGGCGCGGGCTGCAGCCGTGGCGTCGCTGCACCGCCTCATCCGCCAGCCAGAAACAGCACTGTTCCTCCGCCGATCTGCTCTGGTTCTCGCGCGACGGCTTGAGCAGCTTGCCTTGGATAAGTGAGTAATTTTTTTAGGGTTTGGGTTCCCACAATCTTTTGTAATTGCCAAGCTTTGACTTCAGGTTCAATCCTCCGAAGCGCACCTCTTATTTGTCGTCAAGACATTTTCAGTGTGTAGGATTTGCGGTGCTTGCGATTGTTTCAGCTGAATTATGTCTGATGTAGCGATAGTGTTATAATCTCCACAGGCATAGGATTGAACTCTTCCATTTTCCGTGTATGTCATGTCATTGGAAATTATCACTGTCAATTTGCATTTTTTCAATGCTTATATATAGCAATAGCTATCCCGTGCCCAAGTCTTCTTGAAGAGAAATAAAAGAAGTAGCCAATCTGATGCCTGCAGTATTCCAGCAATATGTCGATCAACATGATATGTACCTACGATAGTCGACGGGGTTATTTCGTAACGAATACTACATTGCAAAGAAAACCTAATTAGCTAGAACATTTGTTATCACCGATTGCAGCTTTTTACTCCCGGAAAACCTCGTTAGCTATTGTTTACTTTTGGGATTGCACCATAATGTAGCTGTGAAAAACTTGACAGGAAATCTGTGTAAAATTATTTGCATTCGAATACTGTTATAATCAGGACATCTTTGTACTCTTTAAGCATGCTAACTTCGAGCTTCGTGAGCTGTCTTACCGTAAAATGTCGAATCTGTAGTGTATTTGTAGTTCTTACTGTTTCATACTCTCTTCATTATTGACCTCTCGATTGTTTGTAATTTATGGTAGGGCTTTCATAGTCAGGCAGGCCGCAGCTATCACGTATGGAGTATTGGGTGCAATGTCAGCTGGATTGGTTTTGACTGATATCGAGAATTCGGGAGGTCCTGCTGATCCCTTTATCGGGTGGGCTTTGCCTCGCCTTAAGGACAGCGCATTTGGTACTGAGGCTACTGGACTAGCGCTAGCTGGACTGCGGGAGTTTCTTGCTACAGGCAAGTCCAAACGTTCATCGTGTGGTTTCCATATTGATATTTTGGGCACAGACAAGAAATACCGATGATCCCTTAGTTTCCTTCCTTGTTGTTGCCGGATTTGTAGAAATCCTGGTTATTGAACCAAGCCTTTATTCACCGATTTGCTTCATGTCATTCTTTTGTGCAGGTGATGTGATGGCTACTGAAAAGCATGTGCCGCCCATTCTTAAAGCCTGCGAAGAGCTTCTAGAGAATCAAACGCCGCTTTTACAACTGTTGCTAGGAGTTCTGACAGTGTGTGGGGTTCGGTTTAGTCAACTTCTTGAGCCCTACTTTTCAGACATAGTTGATCTGCTTCTCGGATTGGCTCTTGATCCCGAGCATCTCGAGGTGGACCGTCGACTAATTGTTGACAACTTCCTCAAGTTCCAACTTATGTGGGCCAGAAGACCGGAATTTCCTTTAGGTTTGCTAAGAACTTTTCTTGGTGACATGGAGAAGTTAGCTCATGACCACTCCACTCCCACTCTGCAGCAGCTCCACCGGCTGCTTGCCCTCGCATCATGCTTTGTGGCAATTATGCAAGCCACAGCTTCGGGAATAGGCGAGGCAGACTCTAATGATTTCTTGATGGATGCGTCGAAGGAGATGCTGCCACGCGTGATAGCTTGCTTTGCCATCTTATGTGACAAATTTTGGCAGTTCAGATGGTTGAACGAGGCGTGCAGGTGTCTGATACTATTTGCGGAGGTTTTAAAGGAGAGCTTTGCTGTGTTTTACCCTCGTGCTCTTGATATCTTGTTTTCAGTTTCAGTATCAGAAAACAAATTGAGGAGTCGGCAGCAGCATGCTTCCCTGGGTTTGACTTTGTCTCAAGCTCCTCGTGCATTAAGCGCATCACAGGTTCGTTCCCCTATTAGATTAGAGATTTTAGAAAAGGCAGTTTTGTGCAATCCCTGCTTGGAATGAATATAACTTTCTGCTTTTTGCTAGAAATTTATTCCTGTTTTTGTGGAAAGAGATTCATATTCTTGATTGTCGATTCTGTAGACTGATGTTTTATATTATCTCTCAGCTTAAAAGCGCTTTGTGGATATGCTTTCAGTTCGGGGTTCTTTGTGCACGTTGATATGATGGATCTGGTGCAGCTGTGTTTCACAGGTACAAATCATTCTGCAAGTTAATATGAGGTTGATTCTTTGTCAAGGGCAGCAATTATCTCCCCAAGCTGTTTCTAAGCTTCTAGAGTGGCCCTCGCCTCTTTCATGCCTACGACTGCACCCAAGTCGCATCGTCAGAGGTATTTAATTCACATCTGGTGGTGAGGTTGTCTTCTTTGCAAGCTTGCTTGTGGAACTATAATTTCATTCATTTATTTATTGATTGATTTATGTCACTCTATGCTTACTAAAAAATAATATAGAAAATTACCAACCAGTTTTCTACGGTTGCTTATTTGCATGTAGGAAAAGTCGCTGCCACTTACATGCTCCTTTTACAGCATGACTCGAAAGAAGTTGCCGCAGAGGCTAGTACATGTTTGATTAGAGAATTAGAATTCTTAAGAGAATGGAAGCTTGCTTCCGTCAAAAGTGGGACACGGTCTGAGGAAATTTTGAAGAGGGAAGGTGAAGTGCAAGATTTGTCTGAATGTCAGATAAATACACTGTTCAGGTTTGACCTGATGCTGCTTCCATATAAGTCCGTGGTGAAAGAGGCCACCACTTTTGGAGTTTCACAAGCTGAACAAGCGTATGATTTAATGGAGCTCATATTGGTTAAATTAAATCCTTTTCAGGATCCGTTGCAGTGGAATCCACATGTGCAGTTGGTCTTATGGCAAGCCCTACATTGGCCTTGCACTTATAGCTCTTCTTCAGAACCTCGTCTACATTCGGAAGGAAATGACCGAAAGGATGAGAGTTTCATCAAATCTAAAGATGATGGAGATATCACTGAGGCAAGCTACATGTGGAAAGATCCGAGTATCTCTGCCTTAAACGGTGTCGCTGGCTTTAGTCTTATCACTGAACTTGCAATGGATTCGCATGCCAGTCTCCTCATAAAGCTGGAGGCACTCAATTGGTTCAGATTATATGCTGTCTCGAATTCTTTAAACAAATCAGTTTCTCGGAATCAGCAAATTACCAACGATGGCAATGAAGAGCACACATTGCAGTTTATATCGAGGTTACCAGACATGTTACTCACAATGGCTTTTGATAAGGAGCCTCGAGTAAGAGCAGGTGTGGCTGTGGTCTTGGAGGTCATTTTGCAAAGCAACCTTGTGAAACCCCTTCATTTCCAGCCAGTTACATTGGTCGCCCTTCAGCAACTTAAAAACTCCGAAATCTCTCTGCATGCGTTATATCAAAGGGTGCTCCAAGCTTATGCACCTGCTGCTTTGTGGATTCATGGATGGGCAATACAACTTAAAAGTCGGCAGCCCTTTCTTTTAAGCATCCCGCACAGTGGCAGATTGCATATGTTCAATGGTAAGCGAACTACGTCAGATCTTCATTTGGGGCAGCATCTCCGAAGTCATCAACTGTCAATGATCCTGAATTACTTATCCCAACGCCCACAAGTTCTTCCTGTACACTGGCTACAAAGAATGATATATAACTTCCCTTGCAAGATAAAGCCTTCGGCTATTAGCATAGAAGGGGATGAGCTGGAATCTCCTATTGAAGGGGAGGATGGTAGTGGAGATTCCGAGCTATTAGAAAAGTTGACGTCCAATACCTTATCAGCATTATGGTGGACTGTACAGGAAGCCTCCCGCCATTGTGTCACAGTCCGCCTCCGGACGCATTTGGGTGGTCCCACTCAGACATTCGCAGCCTTAGAGAGAATGCTATTAGATGTTCCACACCTCTGTCGCATAGATTTTGGACGAAAGGAGACAGCAATGGGAGGTCTGGCTAGCTCTATTACTGTGCAATTGCTACCGTTGCGTCTTTTACTAGAGTTTGTGGAAACCCTGAAGAAAGATATATACAATTCTTATGAAGGTTCTGCCGTGTTACCACCTCCACCAACACTGAGCGCTCTATTTTTCCGAGCTAACAGGAAGGTTTGTGCACTAAAGATGTTCCTTTTGGTGCTAGCATGAACGGTAGTGAAATTTCATTGCTTATTGTTCAGTTAGTGGCAGCTTGAGTGTTCACTCAGATACAACTTTTTTAGAATTTCTGGTTTACAACTGAAACTGTCATAATCATTATAAGAAAGGTTTGCATAAACATCATGAGGGACACATGGTTTTGCCAGCAAGTCAAGTTTTTCTAACTGTTGAATTGTTCCTTTTCAGGTTTGTGAGGACTGGTTTGCGCGCATTAGGGAGGCGTTCATAAATGCTAGCGTTGTCACTCAATGTCATGCAGGCACAATTGTCCATGCATCACTTCATCTGCAGGATCTGAGAACACTTATCCCTTCATCTTTGAGAGAATCCCGGGGTCAACTTTTGCCAGAAAATAGCCACAACATGAGAGGAAACATCCAGGGCGATTTGGCAAAAGTCATACAACATATTTCTCTTGCGCTCTGTCGATCACATGAAGCTGATGCTCTGCAAGGGCTCAAGGTGTGGGTTAAATCAGCTTTTGCACCAGTATTGGTCGAGGACTATCTCTCCGTTCCCAAGACAAATACTTCAATGGGGCCTTTTGCATGGTTAGATGGTTTAACTTACCAAGCTAAGGGGCAGTATGAGAAGGCACTCGCACAATACAATCATGTTATTCAACTCGACGATGCTTTGGCCATGATGGGCGCTGATGGTATACAGTTCATAATTGCACGAACGGTTGAAAGCTATGTGGCCCTTGCAGACTGGGAATCACTTGATCAATGGGTACAGGAACTGCAACTTTTACGAGCAAATCATGCTGGAAAAACGTACTGCGGTGCTCTTACGACATCTGGAAATGATATGAATGCTGTTTACGCCCTTGCTCGTTTTGATGCAGGGGATACGCATGGAGCCTTGGGCTACCTAGACCTCACTCCTCAAAGTAGGAGTGAGTTGACTGCAGATCCTTGGCAATCACTTCATAGAAGTCAGCAAATGATACTGCAAGTGATGCTGCAGCAGAGCACAAAAAGTGATAGAGTTGCCTCAGAGATTGCACTAGCAAGAGCAATGGTTGAAGATTGTTCCCAGGTGGCCATGCTGGATGGCTTAGCTCAAGCAACTCCTTATCTGATGCAATTAGAATGCATTCGGGTGTATGAAGCTTTCAGGGACAAAAATCTTTCGGAGGAGCGTCTAAGTGAACTTACTTCTCATTTTCCCCCACGTGTTGGCTGGCCACTGGATCATATGCATCAAGATTCTCAGCCATGGCTTAATTTGTTACGTGTTTATCGTGAGGTCTGTCCAAGGTCGTTGAGAACTCTTCAGCTGCAACAACAAATTGTGAGATTGGCTCGTAAACAATCAAATCTGAAGCTTGCGCGCCGACTACTGGACGAGGTTCTTGATTTGCAAGTCACCTCAGTCAATCTTGGATTGAACACCTCACCAAACCCACCCTCTCTTTCAGGACGATGGGAATATGAAGATATACTTTTACTTCATGCTGAAGAGAAGCAGGATGATGCTTTATTGAGACTCTGGCAATTTGTTGAAGACAAGATTAGTTCATGTCTCGAGTATCCTATCCGTGAAGAGCGGACGGAATCTACCAATGCTAAGGCATGCCTGAAGCTTGCAACATGGCTACGTGCCAGCTCTGCACAGTCCAACATGCTACAAGTGCTTGCAAGTCTAGGGTTCAATGCAAGTGACAGTGAAGTTGACCATTCTTTGTTCTCTAACGGAAAATTGAAGTCAGTTATTCAGCGGATTGCAGGGGCGGCAATTAAAGGCGCGACTATATGTTTACCTAAAATGGCAAAAGCATGGTTCTCTTATGGATATTGGTGTTTTACTTATGCAGAAGGATCTCACAACCCGGAGACTTTAGCTTCGAAGAGCTCATGTAGTTTTTTGAGTTTGATTGATGGAGAAACAAGTGAGAATAGTAATGAACTTACACGCGAGGAAATAACAAATATATTCGCCATTGTCTCTAGAGTTGCCGCAGGCCCTAGCGGTGACAACCTAAACCATTTCATTTTGGAGGGTGGAAAAGATGTGGATAACTGCGTCCAACGGATTGTAACTGCGTTCATAGCAGCGGGCATGTCTGCTGGATCTGAAGATATTGAGGGAGAACCGCCATCCTATCTTCTGTCTTTGCAATTACAACAACTATTACAGACGAACTCATCGTCGTGGTCTGTAACTCCTGTGATTCCTGAGTTGATGCGAATATGGTGGGCTTTTAGGTGCAGAAAAGTGAATTTGTATTCGTATTCAGCAAAAGGCTTTTTGCAGTGTTTGTTATTATCAAATCAGAAACTATCGCGAGGTGCCCTGCCAGCGGATGTCAAACCCATCAGAGAAGATTGCATGCTTAGTGCTTCTCTTTATCTATTGCGGATCATTGTTAATTATGGTGTTGAGCTTGAAGACTTTCTGCAACAACAAGGCTTGTTGTCTGTGCCACCGTCTTCTTGGCAGGTAATTCAAATCAACTCCCTTTACTTCATAGAATCACCAACTAATGATTAGAGCACATAGGAATGTGTCATGTGGAGATTGAAGACGGTGAATTCCATCAACCTTATCTGCTAGGTTGCTATCATTCATGGAGAAATTTAATATTTGCACAAATGAAATTTAAACCCCACCTCTCGTGATAAGCAGATATTATGCGCTAATGATTTTTCAAACTTGTATGTTCGAAATGAAACTGTGCGCAGGCCATTTCGGCTCAGATTCTGGCTCGGTTAAGCAGCCACCCAGAGTCCAGAGTTCGAAAGCAACTTAAGAGCTTATTAATGGCTTCTGCAAATTTATCACCGTGGGCAATAGTGTATCCATTGCTGGTGGATATGAATGGAAGCGACGAAGGCTTATCAGAAGAGCTGAAAGACCTCCGAGATGGCCTGGTAAATCCCATTGCTTTAGTTCCTAGTCTTGATCTCCTTCAATCTGTTCGTTATGTCACTCTCCCTTCGCTGCTGACGGTGGTCATAATGGGAGCAATTGCCTTCAAATCAGGAAAAATCATTGAAATTCGAATAAGATCTATCGCTCCCTTATCCCTTCTGGTTTTTTTGCATTGCCAAATTTGTCCAGGTTGAAAATATCTTTCTGGAAAGCTAAGAATAATAACCATTTTCTTGTAGATCAAGTTACATCCGAAATTGGCCAGAGATGTGAAGTCTATGATTGCGGAATTGGGTGCTATCACAGTATTTTGGGATGAGCAGTGGTTGAGCACACTACAAGATCTTCGAACAGGTTTGGTTCTTATTTGCAACTTGTTACAATACAACTTAAAATCATATGTAGAGCATTTGCTACATTATACGAGTTCTGGCATTTCTTTGAGCACAAATATGCTTTCATTGTTGGTATAATAAACTATGAAATTTGCTTTGCAGATGTAATGCGACGAATCACCACTTTGAAGCATGAAACTGCTCGAGTGGCAGAAAATGCAACACTTAGTCACAACGAAAAAGTCCGTATAAATGCAACCAAATATTTAGCAATGATGGCCCCTGTAATTGTTGCTCTTGAGCGTCGCCTTGCTTCTACATCCAGGCCACCAGATAATCCTCGACAATCTTGGTTTCAAGAACAATTTGGGAGCTCTTTGAAAAGAGCTATAGAAGTATTCAAGGCTCCTCCAGTGGGATCAGCTTCTCTTTCAGGTGTCTGGCGGCCTTTTGACATGATAACTGCTGAACTAGTTAGCCATCAGAAGAAGTCAACTATTCTGCTGAGTGAAGTTTCTCCTGGCCTAACATCGCTACAGTCCTCAGAGGCACCAATGCCTGGACTTGGATTTCATTCCTCAATTGTAGATAGAGATTCTTTTACGTCTCCCAAGGAGGAGGGGTCTCTAATCACCAATTATCATCAACCCGATATTATAACTGTTGCTTCTTTCAGCAGCCATGTCACTGTCCTTTCCACGAAAACCAAGCCAAAGAAGCTTCAGATAGTGGGGTCTGATGGTAATGTTTATCCCTATCTTCTCAAGGGCCGAGAGGACCTTCGTCTAGATGCTCGCATAATGCAGCTATTACAGGCAGTGAATTCCATGCTTCTAAGCCGCTGCGAAACTCGACGTCGAGTACTCGTTGTCAGGCATTATTCTGTCACTCCAATCAATGGACGGGCGGGTCTGATACAATGGATTGAAGATCTGACCAGTATGTACAGTGTGTACAAGGCTTGGCAGGAACGATCGGTTGCTGCATCCGGGACAAACCTCAACCATGGAGTGTCATCAGTTCCGCGCCCTAGTGATCTATTCTACGGCAAAATCATACCTGCTTTGAAGGAGAAGGGCTTGCGCAAAGTCATTTCTCGTCGTGACTGGCCACAGGATGTGAAGCGCAATGTGCTACTGGAGCTGGTCAAGGAGACCCCTAGACAACTGTTGCACAATGAACTCTGGTGTGCGAGTGAAGGGCTCAGTTCTTTCAGGGCTAAGCTTGACCGTTTTTCTGGTAGTGTCGCAGTGATAAGTATCGTAGGCTACATCTTGGGCCTCGGTGATCGTCATTTGGACAATATTTTGGTAGATTTCCGTTCAGGTGATGTAGTTCACATTGATTACAACGTTTGCTTTGACAAGGGTCTTCGGCTCAAAATTCCTGAGATTGTGCCCTTCCGTCTCACTCATACTATACAAGCAGCTCTGGGTCTGACAGGAGTTGAAGGGGTATTTCGCAAAAATTGTGAAGCTGTTTTACGGGTGCTGCAGAGCAATAAAGATGTGCTTCTAATGCTATTGCAAGTCTTTATTTGGGATCCACTGGTGGAGTGGATGCGGGGAGATGGTCATGATGAAGCTGTTATCGGAGGTGAAGAGCGCAAAGGCATGGAGCTTGCAGTCAGTTTGAGCCTCTTTGCATCTCGGTTGCAGGAAATTCGAGTACCTCTCCAGGAGCATCATGATCAACTTCTGTCGACATTACCTGCTGCTGCTATGGCGTTAGAGAGCCTCGTTAGAGCGGATGACAGACTTGAGCAAGCTGTAGCATTGTATTCTCAAGCAGAACAGAAGCGACGTGTAGCTCTGCATGCCGAAGGTGCAGCCATGTCGTTGTTTATGGAGGCCACGTCAGATCATGATAAAGCGCAAGAGGTCTTTACTGCTCAGGCTCAAGAGCTTGACAAGACCAAAGCTTTAATAATTGAAGAAGCTAGGAAACTGATTCTCTGGGTCAAACAGCATGCATCTGTACTAGAAGCGCTTTGCCTCGGTTCTGTACCAGAGTTTGAGAATGTTGCTCAGGTTGTAAGCTCTCCCGAGACCTTGTCCCTTAAATCAGCTGTGCTGTCTGTTGGGGCGCCTCTGGCAATCATTCCCGAAGCTACCCAAGTACATTGTCAGGAGATTGACCGGGAGGTCGCCCTACTGACAGCTGCACGTCAGGAGGCACTCCTGATTGCTGTGAAGAGTATGAAGGCATACTCTTTAGCCCTCCAGAAGTTGGTTCCAGCTAATTATATTGCCAGCAGTCATGTTCATTCTTGGGCTGAGGTCTTACAGGTGTTATCCCAAGATCTCTCACCTGATGTACTGGTTGTAGCAAAAAGGCGGGCTGGGGACTTGATTGCGCAATGTCATGGCCTGCAAGATGAGTCTATCCAACAGAAGTACAACGAGGTGCGGTCGCGTTATGAACGATTATACAGAGACCTGCAGAAACTGAGGGGAGATCTTGACAATCATGAAGCTGTCGCCAATCCAGAGACTCTGCGGAAGTCCAAGGATCAGTTTCTGTCCACAGCATTAACCCAGCTTCAAAACTTGGCAATAGATTACGGAAATGAAGCAGAAGAGAATCAGAGCAAGCTTATTTTGCTGTTATATAAGACTTCATCAACTCGTTACAATGAGAACTGGGAAGCTTTGAAGAAGTTGCAATTTCATTTTAGAAAGCAGAGTGGTGCTTCAGATAGCCCAGATGAAGTCCAACCAGATAAATGGTCTCTTGTTGAGTTGAATACCTTGATAGATAAGTGGATGTTCTTAGCGGATATTGTTGTAGAAGTGGGTAAGTTAGGTTCAAGTTTTTTTGGAGGCGTAAAGTCTGGATTTCGTTTACGGATGAATCCACTGACTTCAAGAACGTCTCAGTGGGGCCCGCGATTGAGTGCATGTGTATCTGTACTTGGAGAATTTTTCCAGCAGATGACGGTTTCTGTTTTCCCTGAAATTTTGTCAGCAGTCATCTCTCAGGATGCTGGGATGATGGAGGCCTTCACAGCTTTCACACATGTTCGTGAAAATGTTGATAGATTGATCCAGCAGCACATGGATTCAAGCGCAAATCGACCAAAGAATTTCGAATCTCAAAACGACGCTGGAGCTCAGGGGATGGACAACTATTCCTGGGAGGATATTGATTACAGTCAGGCGGACCTTCCTGGGCGAAAGGATTTGTCGTTCGAAGAGATAGTACAGCGATACAATATGCTGATGGACCTGAATACCGATTCTGATCTTCACATTAGACGAGGAAAGGTCTTGATTGCAGCATTCGCTCAGTTGTTCTCACGACTGGAAAGTCTCGATCAGGGTTTGACATCATTATTGCGGGAGGTTACTGATGAGGATCATTACAACCTGATGAATGAGTTTGATCTGGAAACATCAGAAGACACCGGCAACGTGTGGAGAGTTCCCCACTTGTCCCAGGAGAAGGCCTTTTTTGCTTGGAAAGTAAGGGTAATTGAAGGACTTCTTGATTCTTGCATCAATGCAATCCAGGATCCGTCTGAGCATGTGCTGCAGCTTGAGATGAGGCTCAAAGGTCGTCTTCTTTGGTTTTTGGGACAGTACCTAGTGTACCGATTAATGGCTGTGTTGCTGTTATGTGTAAAAGAGACACATCCGCTGACAGCAAATTCAGGTTTTAATCTAACTCACTAAATTTTACATAGATTTTAGTGTCATCACCATAAAACCTTTTGCTAAGGCAGTGATATTACGATCTCCTAGTTGACGATCACGTTTGGAAAGAATGCTACATGTCCTATGCCTCTATACTCTCCATCATTATGGGCACCATAAGTGCCAAATTTGTTACTAATGATATATTTTGATAGTCAGCTAATGGATGGAAGTGCTATTGTGCAGGTAACAATGAGATTTTAGAAGACAATTGGCGACTTGGGGAAGCAGCTGAGCAGGCATTGAGGTCGCTTCGTGATCACTGTAATGCTCATGATCTTGTAAAAGCTGCAAATGCAGCTGCAGTTACTTTGAGATCTCAGGCAAGTGATTCATTCTTAATATATTTGCCTGATAGAAACGTTTTTATAGAGTATGTTTCTAAGCTACTCTAGGCTGATATCGAGTAAAAGCTTCATCTTCTCTTAGTGTTAGTGATGTCGTATTTGCCATCGCTACTTTTTATGCTGTTTGAATTACTCTGGTTTTTCCAATATTTCATCATAGGTTTTTGAATTCAGGCGGAGGAACGATTGCAAGCCCTCGATAAGGTGCATTTGGAAGCAGCTCAATTGGAATGGTTAAACGAAATGATCTTGTCTGACTCGCTACTTCAAAATCAACCGCTAGGTGCACCAAGGTCCATGAGAGGTGATAAACAAGGTGTTGATGTGGCATGGTGGGATCGCAAGCAAATACGGAAGAACCTTTATGCAGCAACAGCTACAATTAGACAGGCTACAGAAGGGCTGCAGGTCAGTTGCTGGTTACTTGTTATTGTGTGAAATACATTTGAAATTGTTCTCTGACAGGAAACGTTATGATCGTATCGTTACGCTTGATTGATTCGCAACAAGAGAAATCCTCACAGATCAAAACTTCATTTTTCCGTGCAGGGACGAGAGATGGCGGGTTCGGCAGCAGAGGAAGATCTTAAGCGGGCTCTCGTATCTGCGTGGACCTCCGCAAGCGCCAGTTTCTCTAGTACAGGACGCAGGACTGGAATTCCATCTGAATTTTATGACCATCTTCACAGAAGACGTCAACTGCTAAGATCAAATCATGAACAAGCTGTCAACATTCTACGAATCTCTGAATCAATCCTCAAGTTTGAAGCTTCTCGAGATGGCTTTCTATCCATCTCCCCAGGTGATGGACTGCAATCAAACAAGGAGAGAGGCAGGATGTGGCAGCAGACGTACTTTGAAGTTGTTACTCGACTCGGGTCCGCGTATATTTCTTTCTCTAGTAAGTTTTATGTTTACTTTCATGTGTTTACATTTTGTTATCAGATGTTGCTTATGCATTACACATTTTTGGATGGCTATATCTGCAAGTTCGTGATCAGTATGGGTGGTTATCCAAGTCCTTCCAGTACCCAATATTTTCGATCTAGCATGCATGGGAACTTCGTCTTTCAAAATCTGCTTCGTTTATTAATGTGTACATTTTCGACACAGGATCAAAAGCAGAGTGGCAATCAGCTTTAGTGCACTTAGAATCTGCGAGAGCAGATTTGTCTAAGGTTGCTAATGAACTCCAAGCAGTATCCTCAGAAATTGAGTCTGCTTCAGGTATCTGACCTACATTACCTTTTAATACATCGACATTTAACCTTATCCTTTTCTTGGAGTAAGCTCTGCTGTTTTTTTTATCTTTCGTTTGTGTGACACTGTTTGCGTAAGGTGTTATTCATCTGTAGTTAGGCGCCTTCTTTGACCTGTTTATGTATTTGAACTTGTGAAGGTGAAGTCAAAGTCTCAATTCGCAACCTTCAAGCCTGGATAAAGGAGGCAGCCACGCGGTGGTCAGCAGTAAGCAACATCATTAAAAGTCACACTGCCCTTACCTCTGACGCTGGGCAGATGCTGGATGAGGTACCTTCTCTTTTGGGCTAAAAAATTTTATGTAGCATTTCTTGTAGTATATTGTAGGAGTTGTACGGTTCACTAATTTCAGTAGAGTTTATATCAGGAAAAATTATTTGTAACTCTGTGACTGGCACAGACAGTTATCTCACTAGGAACTGTGTTATATCAAACTTGCGGGAATTAGACGTTCCAAATGCCTCTCAATCTCCAAGACCCGTTCTGTTTAGATTGTCATGAACCTGGACTCTGGTATTCACTGAGATTTGATAGCTAGATTGCGTCACCTCCTTTTTATATATCTAACTACAATTTCTAACACGTCAACATTATGAATACTTGCAGATATTAGCAATTACAGAGGGAACTGAGGGTGCAGAGGATGTTCATGGCCTGGCTCAAGAGGGGGCTGCTGAGCATGCTTGTCTCATGACTAAGCTCAATGAGGTAAGGACTTGAGTGTATTTATACCAGGTCAAATGATGCTGCCAAATTTATGTTTCTTGAAAGAGATAGTTCTTTCTCCTGTAATTTGGAAGAACATTTTATTATAGTATTATCCTCTTCAGATTTGAATTTTCTGATTGAAAAAAAAAAAAATCCATATGGACAGGTTAATGAGTTGATCCTCCCACTCGAACCGTTGCTGACATCTGGAGCGCTTCTTGCAAGTAGTCTGGCCCGATTGTCATCTTCGGGAGTGTCATTAACGGAGAGCATGGTGGATAGAAGCTTAGGGTATGGTCACAACGCGGCAGTTCAAAATCATTCTAGCCTGAAAGAAACATCTGCAGTATTGAGTGAAACAATTTCAAGCCTTCTTAGCGCCGTGAAGAACTTGCACTCCTGCTTAAGCAAGCTCATTCGAACTGCAAGTTCAGATGCTGGATTTCTGCACAAGGTCTACCTATGGCTCTTCCATGTCTTACTATGGATCTAGCATACTATTTAGTTACTAATGATCTTTTTGTAGGAATCTAGCCATTTTTCCTTCTGTTGCATCTTTTGAGAAATCATTTAGCTTGTCGTGTGGAAGTTGCATCCTCTTTATTTCAGTGTTCTTCTAAATTGATAGGCAGTTGCTCTAGGATGAGGTTGGGAAGTGGTGTCTTGTACAAAATAGCTGTTACATACATTATGCAGATGTGTGTAAATTACTTATGTGTTTTTCCCTGTGGTCTGTTTAGGCTCTCGCTGGAGTGGGCGGGGAGAACCAGGAAGATAGATCCTCACAAGTTGTTATTGTTGAGCCAGATACTAATGAAGAATTTGCTCAAACTGATTTGGTTGGCAAGTCCACTATGGAGTCCATTTTGGCTACTGGGGATGAGATGCCAGTTTTTCAGGTATCTGATGATTGTTGGATATCTCCGCCTGATAGTGGGCATTCTGTTACTTATGCGGACAGTCTCATGACAGGCTCATCTCCTGAAATTTACAGAGGGTCGAAGGCGTTGGAAAATGGGGATTCCAACGCAGAAGTTCACCATGCGCTTCTTGATATTGGCCATAGCAAGGAGACTTCAGGAGATACATCAAATTTAGGTGTTAATTCAGATGTCGATGGCACAAGCTTAGACCTTAGCAGTCTACCAGCATCAAGTACCACATCAACTCCCGTAAGGTCTCAACAGATTGGTTTAAACTCTTCCAGTGACAAGGAGCCCTCAGTATTTGCAGCTGATATCAAATTGGAACATCATGTTGGGGCTGACGCAAGTTCAGGGGACCTACACAGACTTGCCCATCCAAGAGAATTTAAAGTGCCTGGAACAGACACAGCTACTCGTACTCAGCTTTTCAAAGGTATCAGCACGTCTCTTGACGGAAATCGTTTTGAAGTTCCACATAATCTTTGTGGACTAGAATCATATTTCGCTAATTCTTTATAAGGCAGCTTTCTGACCACTCATTACATGACATGCAGGGAAAAATGCATACGCAATCTCGGTTCTGAAGCGTGTTCAGATGAAGTTGGAGGGACAGGAAGCTGACGGCAGCAGGTACTTTTCTAATATTTAGGCTTATTACAGTTGTCAGTAGCACATATTATGTTAATATCTCACTACGCGCTCTGTCAGCCGACGATTATGTGTTCATATGCAAGTATTATGTTGTGTTGTGGCAGAAAACATGGGGTGGCAGAGCAAGTGGATATTTTGCTGCGTCAAGCTTCAGGGATTGATAACCTTTCAAACATGTATGAGGGATGGACTCCTTGGGTTTAAGACATGGTGGATACTTCCTGATATAGCATTGCCCAGCTGTCCCTTCACATACCAACAAGAGTTCACATTGTGATTAAGCACGGTGCATGTCCTGCGGACGTTTGAATGAAGAAGCTTGAGTGCAGGGAATTCAGGATAATACACTCTCTGTCATTTCTCGTTCTCTTTGGAAGCCCGAGTTGCAGATCTCAACTGGGAAGTGAGACCTAAATGAAGCTGCAAGCTTCACTGAGACGCTGTTAATCATCACACAATGCTTCCTTGGTGCTAATAGGAATCACTGGGACGGGACTGGAGGGACCACTTCGCGTAGGTGCCAGACGGAGAACTCGTCATTGTGGTTCACTGGGATGTGTCTTAAACCTGGAAATCGAAGTGGACAGTCACAGCTTGAATTTCCATGGGGCTGTATCTTGGAGTTTGGGAGAGATTTAGTTCGAAACAGTTGGTTTAGGGCTCTGGTTGCCTCCGTGTCAATGTTGGGGAAGAACTTTCATTTCAAGAGAACGCATGAACAAACTTGGTGAGCAGTACTTAACCTAAACGGATTATTTTTGTTAGACATTTGTGATGTCCACATTCACCGAGTGCAAACAAGAGTCGAACCTGCATCTGTATCAGATAGACTTGTTAGTTTCCTTCAGTCTATTTACTTCAACAGCTGGTACTTTGGTTATGAAATGCTGCATGAGAAGCTTATGAATATTATCATAGTGGCCAAGTTTAATCGTTGATGTAACTTCCTGTAGTGATTTAGTTGGCCTTTTTCAGGGGCAAATTTCAGTAAATGGAAACCAAGTCCGCGGGGTAGAAGCACATCAGCGCATAAGGTACTATCAGTGGAATACTCCTCTTTATTTTTAAAACAGAATAGAGTATGAAGTGTAGCTTTTAGTTATGTAACTGAGCGCGTTCAAGAATGGCACTTGAGTACCTTCGAGGGGTTTTTGTTACGCAAGTTCAGTGAGGTAATTGTGTACTTATTTTTGCTTATGTTCAGGTCAGTGATGGACGAGAAGTTGATTGTAGATGGATATGCTTGAACAACTAATATTAAGGCTTTTCATATGTTAAGATGTTCCTGCATATGAAGGTTGTGGCTTTGGGCAACTGGTAAACACTTGATTAGTTTGTGACATGTGCATCCCATCCAGTCTTTATGAAACGATGCATATGCGGGCAGCTCTGAGGTTTGGTCATGCTGTAGATAACTTCTCAGCCAACATATTTGTAAAATACGAGTACAATAAGTACCTGAAATTGAATTTCTGAAATTTGAATTAATGAGTAAAACAGGTGAATTTGATGTACACCTTGCTGATGGTTGTAACACTTGACAAGTTGAAACACATGGTAAAAAAAATGCTAATTATTGTAGTGTAGTTTCATATATAGTGAAGAGGCCTACTAGACTGACTCCACAATGGGATGCATAAGGATCTCTGCATAGGTGTGACTTCCTGCAGACTCAATGATGCATTTGAGACCAAGACTATAGTGTCAATATTGTTTTATAATGTGTACTTTAAAGTTACACCTGGATTCTGGTGTATACTCCATAGATTCTCTAGTGCGGCATTGCTCTATTCCTTGGGAACTGCATGTCAGACTGCTAAGGATGGTAACCTTTGATGTGCACAATCCTCAGGAGAGGACATTGGGCTTATTCTGAAATATTTGTGTGTGTAAAAAAAACACTGAAACAATTGTGCCATGTCAATTGATCATTTGAACAACATTATAGATCTTGGAAGAACAAGATAAAAATTCGAAATGTATTTTACATGTATAGGTTCAAAATCTGTTGGATGTATATATTTTTAAGATTCACTTACAATATACTTTTATATTTTTATAAATGCTTTTTTGGAATAGGTAATAAGAAATTACAAAATTCTATTGATAAGATTTAAGGTGCATCTGTAAAGAATATATTCTGAGATTTTGTTCTCAGAATTGACGCAAAGATTTAAAATGCTCTCTTCTCTTTATTAGCTTATATCTTTTTATATTTATTATAGTCTTATATTATTGGAATAAGTTGTGGTATCCAAATTTTGAAATATATTATATTTTCTTAAAATAAATTTTTTCAAATATCTTCCATTCTCTAAGATTGTTGTTAGAAAATTTCTCAATGATGAGAAATTTTAAAATTCTACCAATAATTGACTTATTTGCATGATATTAAAAAAATATCAATTTTTTTTATAATAATAAAAAATATCTACACACAATATTAGAAAATAATGAAACCTAGCCAAAATCTTTTTTTATGGTAATTTTCTTACAAATGTTTTTTGTCAATAAACTATTTGTATAACTTCTAAAGATCTTAGATATATCTTCGATTTCTACTATTTAATAAGAAATTCCATCTCTTATGCAATAATAAACCCAACATGTTATAATTGGATAAAATTATATTTTATGAGTATTTAAATCTCATCTGCTTTGTTGTATAATCTAAACTCTTCATTCCATCTCAATCTTAAATGATTTTACAAAATATATATATAGATTTCTCACCCAGTAACTGATATTGAAATGCCTGATCAAAATTATATTATACATTCATGAACTTTAAAAACATGAAATTTCTACTATTTTTTAAACAATTCAAACCTATTTCTAAGAACATGATGAAACAAATATGCAGCTAAAATAAATCTTGTGGAAATATTTCTTTAAAACAATTATGTCCTTGTTTTTGTTAGCATATGGTTCTTGAGAATGTAGATTTCTTTTTGAAGAAACAAATATCTAGAAATAAAACCAAAAACAAATTGGTAATATGATGTGGATGCCTAAATTTATTTCAAATGATTGTATTTTTTTTAAGAGATTTTTTGTCAATAAGGTTTTAAAACCACTAACTTTGCTTTCAAGTACTTATTTAAAAATTCAAAATCATTTTATCTAATTTAATTTTTGGAACTGTATCATATATTTTTAAAAACCAAATCAAAATTTTAAATATATAAATATTTGTAAAATATGTGGTTCATCGTAAAATTCAATATCAGCTAAATCCAACCTACCTTTGACACTTCTTACTTCCTTTTTTGACCAAAATATCACATTCATGACAAATCAATGATAGAAACATATATTTTTAAAACCTTATTGACAAAAAATCTCTTAAAATTACTGAGAAATAAAATATATTTTTGTCAATAAGGTTTTATTTCTCAGTAATTAAAATTGTTAATCCTTTTAATAAAATAAAATATATTTGTGTATGGTAAGAAATAAATTGGGATGCAACATATTCACACACTTATAAGAAAATAAAATTAAGACATTAAGAGTTGACAATTAAGAAAACTCCTGAAGAAAAAAACATCCTCGCTTATGAAGAAAAAACAAAACAAAACAAAACAAACAATATTAATTCACATTTTGTTGCCTTCATAATTGATTTTGCACAAATTTTTCCAGCAAAATGGAGCATCAGTACACAGGAAATCACTAGTCTCTCTTTGGATGAATTACTACAACACAACTCCATCCACAAATCCTTGTTGTCTGCCAATCCCAATTGTTCATTTCCTCTTCTTGTCTGTGTTCTTATCTCGGGCACCCAATTGTCACTCTTAAGCCTCAGCTGCCTCATTGTCGGTAAAGCACACCCCCATTAGGTCTAATCAAGACCTGGTCATCACACACACACACAACAACAACAACAACAACAAAGAAAAAAAAAAAAAAAAAAAAAAAAAACTCTATTTTTAATAATTCTACTGCTTCTGGGCGAAGATTCCAAGGTCAGGCCTGACGGCAATAGGAGCAGACGATACCGATTTTGCAAGTTTGGTAAATAACAAAAACCAGTCTACCGCACATGCACTAATTTGACTGAAACTCTGCCAGGTATACAACAAGTTCTCAAGAGTGGGATAGATAAGAGTTGGTGGTAAATATTCACGAAGCTACACAGCATAACGAAGCAAAAAAGAAAAGGAAAGAAGAAGCAACAATTGGGTGCTGGTTGCGAAGTGTCTGTACAAGTTTTTGGTGCGGATAAGTGAGAGTGTTGAACATAATCAGAAGCTGAAGCAGGTAAAGTTCAAGCTTCGTTTCCAGGTCCCCATCGTCAATTTGGTGAGCATCGTGAATTCCTCCTCACATTTTGATTGGAAGAGCTGCCGATCGGCAGGGCTGTCTACATGAACGTAGATTTCCAGGAACTTGAGGGTGGGAACCGCATCCACCAGCCACTGCAACACTGACATGCAATTGTCCAAGCTCTGAACTACCATGTGCACAATGAACTTGGTCAGAGTTCGCCACCTCCGGAATGTAGCCAGCTCTTGGTTGATCTCGAAGGACTCCTCCATGGCATGCCAAAGGCCCGGGCCAACACTGAGTGTGTGCAAAATGGGGCATGATGCTTTCAGAACTTCAATGTCGGGGAGACTCCTCGGGATCTGCTCCAGAACACCTTCCCACTTGCCATCTTCCCCTAGAGCCATACACGGTAAATCCAGAAAAATCTTCTCCAGTAAGCGATTGCTCTTCATGAGGTAGGGGAGTATTGAGAAGTGTGAAGCTCCGAAGAGAAGCTCTTTGAGACCATTCACCTCTAGAAACTCTACGTCGGGTCGGTCTCGTTTCTCCATGCAGACTGCGACGTAGGTCAACTTGGGAGCACGCACCCGGAGTATTTCCGGACATGTCATCTTTAGTTGCAGCTTCTTAACTTGGGGAAGGTTTAGATCCACAATCCTGGCGCTTGTGGACAGTCCCAGACACAATACCTCCAATTTTTGGGATTTCATTTTGGCATCTTGGACACCGAAAACACTCACAAGCGCAAGAGTTACTAATACTGGCATGCAGTCATCGATGTCAGTGAGAGACCTTTCTGTCATTTTGATACACCGGAGAGTGAGACTTTCCAGCTTAGGTAATTTGTCCAGATCGTTTGTGTCGAGGTACATGTTCCTCAACTCTAAATGCGTCAATTCTTTGCCTGTTCCAATCCAGTCAAAGTTAAAAGAATTGCTTACATCAAAGATGTGTTACAAAAGCCATACACCCAGCCATGAATTCTCTAGTCGAAGAGACGGAAGAAACTTACAGTTTTCAGAGAGAACCCTCAGAATGGGAGACTGGCGCATGATGGCCTGCTGGCCGTAATCAACAACAGTCAAATGCTGAAGCGTTCTGAAGCACGCTGACACCCACTTGCGTACAAACATGGGCTCGCTCAACCAGAAGTCCACCATGTGTATCTCCTCCTTCTGAAACAAGTTTGCTTGCATTTCCTGGTCAACTTCAATTCGAAGATGCTTAACATCTTTCACACGCCCGAGCATGTTAAGACATGCGATTTTGAATGACACATAGGCGGGCGGCTTAGCTGGGGCTAACCTTCCACAGAGACCATCCTGGGGTGGGTGTAAGGATGAACGTGGGATAGGAGCAGGCTTTCCAGAGAGAGCATCCTGGGGCTTGTGTGCAGAGGAACCTGAGATTGGGGCTGAGTTTTCATTAACTCCATCCTGGGGCTGATGTTCTGAGGAACTTGAGCTTGGGTCTTTCGTTACGCAGGGCTCAACTTTTTCCTCATCGCTGTCGTCCTCCGAGTCTGTGTCAAGTTCATCTTCATCATCTGAGGTTGGGCACGGGACTCTAATAGGAAAGCGCTTTCGTGCCAGAAGGAAATACTTCTTCAGGCAGATGAGATTGAGGCTCTGAACATTTCGCACAGCGTCATCCATGGCTCTGCTCGTTGCCGCACAATTGGCGAGGTCCTTTGCATCCCTGACCCTATTACAGATGTCTGATAAAATGTGAAGAGGCAACACCTGCAACACGTACCCCCACAATGAAATTAGCAACTGTGATACTTTTGTTGATGCTAGAAGAAAATAATCAATGGTACCACCATAAGATGCAATTTCTAAGATAGAAACATATCGTCCTTCCGAAAGTGGAATCAGATGGGCAGCTTTTGTGCGAGAGAAATTCGTGTGAAAGCTACATAAGCTCTATAGATTTGTGTTTAACTCTTGTATCAAAACGAACAATACAATGAGGTGTTTAGTGTATATGGTTATAGTACCTCCTCCATACTGGTGTGGCGCTCTTCGACAACATCCTCCGAAAGTGTGGTATGCATTTCCGCCATGATTGTAGCATCAACGTCTATGGAAGTTGGGGTTAATTTATGTTAACCTGCAACAAATCACAGATTTCAGACTTGCGAAACTCCTTGTTCATAGCAAAGAACGACGTCACCCCGCTACCCAAAGGATGGAACAGCTCAGAAAAATGCCTATTGCACAAATTAGGACAAACTCATACACGTGCTTTCTCGACCAAAACATGATCCACGACAAATTGCTATCAGTAGCATTAACAGATGAATAGCTCCATCTATCTGAAATAGAATAACTCACAGCGTTATAATCCAAGAGTAAAATTCTTTGCTCCACACAAGTTGCCTGTTCGTGACCCGAGTTCCGGAATGAATTCAGTCATGCTTTAAGATCCATGTAAGCCTTCATCGCACCGATACTCATTACTCATCGCTGTGTATGTACTCTCTATCCAATTGCATATAGTAATCCTTTAGAGGAGGAGAAATGTATAATCCATGATTTTGAAGGTCACCTGATACCATCGCTAGGAACGCACTTGCGACGCGTCATAGCTCCCATACTTGATCTTCTTTGTCAGATGACAGACCCTCCTCCAGAAGAAGCAAACTTCTACTGATTCACAGAGACTGCATAAAAAAATTATCTACTGCAAGAAATAGTAACATTAAATGCACATGCGCGCAGGCCTCTGGCTGTGGCATTCCAGCAAGGACCTCGTCACTGGATGATACCTGAACTTGCAACAAGATATTGCAACTCTGCTAACTACGCTCTCTCTAGAGATGCACGAGTCCATAGAAAATGAAGCAGTTATGCTCTCATTCAGACTTTTTTCGCTCGCTTGGAAGGACAGGCAGCTATTCCTTAACTTTTCGAATCTATGCAGTGACATTCAATCGAGTGTACCGATTTTTACTCGACGATCATTTGTGTTTTGATGTGGAGCAGGAAGCCCTCCAACAGATACCTACCTAATCAGCAAAAATCTCTGCTGCGTTCACAAGTTTACAAATTCTGTAGTCGAGACGTGTTGTACTCAATTTGGATTTTCAGTTCTCCAAACAATAATAACAACCTCGTCTTCCGCGCCCAATTCACAGAACTAGAAGCTTCTCGACACAACTAAATCAGGGAACCGTGGAAACCTACAAAAGACTAGCTCCCACTTTCTGGAAGAAGTGGGCAAAAGAATGGCACTATACAACCATTCGCAGCACTATAACCATCGACGGGATGCGAAATTAAGGCCCCTGCTGAAACGCACGGGCCACAGAACGACCCAAGTCGCGTAGGAAAAGAAGCTAAGAAGCTTGTCGGTGCTGGAACAATAAAAAAAAATGCTAGACCTACTAACGGGATCGGAAAGAAGCACGCATTCCCTTCAAGCCCATAAAAAAGGAGCACTAGGATACGTGAGGTCGGAATACAGGATTCGCTCTAGAACATACAGAGTAGACCCAACTCAGTCGATTCCTCCGTCAGCAAAAAGGTCCTGGACATGCGCGTATACATACACTCCCTCTCTCGCCCGCTCCGCCACCGCAGAAGCAGAGACCGGGGAAAACCATATATAGAGATGGGAGAAAATCGATCCAAAGTGCAGTGAAGGGAAGGGGAGATCTCGTTCTAGCTGTGAGATGCTGCTTTAAAGGGTGTGGCGGGATTGAAACGTCGCAGCACATTGTGCTTGGAAATGATATTCTTGTGCTGGGGCAAACGCCGAGGAAGGAAAGTGGGTTAGACAAAGTAGAAGGTGACCAGCCCGGAGTAAAGGAGGCATCTCCACGTTGTTACCGTATTGTCATTATACACCATTCCTTCTTCTTCTTTTTTTTTTCTTTTTTTTTTCTTAATGCAAATTTTATGCTCTTTTTTAGAGACAGGAAATGAGTAGCGCCTACTGCAAGTGTCAAGTTGTGTGCGGGAGAATGAGTCGCACACATTGTTCCTTTCATTATTGACTGGGTTTAACCGTCATTCGTTGATGCTACATAAGCTTGAATAACAAGGTGTTACCCGAATTATGCCACCCTACTTACATACCATCTTCAGACAAAAAACTGTGCGAACTTCGAAGCCTGTGAATGGAGTTCACAGAGACTACCAGCACCAAACAGGAAAAGATGCGTGCCCGACTGTGAGCCACACCGGTGATCTGTGACTCACCTACCATTGAAACTCGACAACGACAAGTTTCAATCTCCGACACCAGCCTTGGATATGACGATCAGCTCACCATAAAATCGCTTCGTCACAGAAAAATAAAAATAAAAATGAAAACGTAAATTCTACCACTACCAACATTCCTACCCAGCGAGGAAACTCTGGCAGGGTTGGGTAGATTGAAGCGCAGTAATTCTCATTCTCTTTGGGGATCGAATGCTGTCAAGCAACAGCACAGCATGCAGCTCTGAGCCTGCCTGCAACAACACAGTGGTGGCTCAGATCACACCAGTAAGCATGGCACAGAATGGCGATGGAATCGTGACATAAGTTATATATCTGTTTGTCTTCAGCGAGATAATTGCATGAAAAAAGGTGGAAGCTTGAAGTGGGGAGTAGCTGCAGGGATAAGAAGACGAAGAAACCCACAAGAGAAAAGTGGGCGTTGTTGCTCGCATGGGAGAGTCAGAGCCATGGAACAGCAGCAGCAGCAACTGCAAGAAGCATGGGAGTGACTGCTGCGAAGCGGAACATGGCGTCAGGCCCACGACTCTTCCGTCGCGGAATCTTCTGGGCTCTGGATGAACGGACCAGTTCTCGTTCCCCGATTGGAATGTTCATTCATCCTTTTCTATCCTTGTTAGAATAGTTTCTAACAAAGAATTTGAGATTAGTTTCTTACACCAACTCGAAGTTTATTGAAAAACTTTTGTAATGTTTTTAAATTCTAGAAACAATGTAACATAATTTTTTATATGGTTAGTATAAAAAACTTTTAGTATTTGGTTAAATTTCTAAAACATGATTAGATATTATATTAATATAATTCTTTGAACTTCTAAATCTGTTAAAATTACAGAAAAAATTATTTTTGTGTCATAATTTGTGAGCTTCCATATTTTACTAGACCCCTTCTAGTTTGCATAACTCAAAAAAAAATCTTGTGTATAATTTAAGAGAAATTTATAGTTTTGAGAACCTCCTCTTGACGCTTCTATAGGATTTTATTACCACAGTATAAATAAAAGAACGAGAGAAGAAGTTCATTGGTCTTACTAATACAGATTTTAAAACAACCCAAGTGTTTATTTTTTTATTTTTATTTTTATTTTTTTTTCTAATCTTGTATCTATACTTATTTCTTGTTGGGTATTTGTTTTTCTCATTCATCTTAATTTTTTAGTCCTTACTCTTTTTATTAATTGTTTTCATTACTTTTATTCTGAAATAAACTATTAAATCTCAAAAATTGTATGTTACCAAATTTTGAATTAAAATCTTATTATATAGTAGTCTTGTCACAAGGGAAAAAAATCACCTTCTTCTTTTTGAAAAATACTACTTAGTCTTAGAAGATGCTAATTATTTCTTCTAATAAGATGTTTATATTTATTTTAGTATTTTTGAAGTTCAAAAGTTCTATGACCTTACGTTTTTAATCATTATTTTTTTAAAATATTTTTGGTGATAATTGAATCCTTATTAATATGTTAAAAGTTATTACAACATTTAATAGAAATAAAAAATATATATGTTCTAAATATTAATTAATATAGTTGCAACTAAACATCAAAGTAATTGGATTTAAGAAATTGCTACTAAACATCAAACAAAAATATAGTAATTAACATATATTATTGTTTTATGCAAAATTCTATTTTTTTTTTACAAACTCCAGAATCTATTTTATTATTTTTTTGGTTGGAATTAAAATTAGCGATTTACATTTTATTACTAAAAAGAGATATATTTTTGACACTAAGGAATGTTTGGAATATGTGTATATATTAAAGTGCATACTCTAATATATTATGATGCTAAGAATACATATGTATTTTTTTAATTTATTTTTTTTAAAAAAAATACTTGATGACTAATTGTTGTATAAAAATAAATATTTATAATTTAAAATATTATGTATTCTTTTTTATTTATATCTTATCACATTAAATAAAAAAAAGATATAAAAAGCCATCACATTGACGAAATCATTGTTTTACTTTGGTTTTAAATATAACAACCTAAATCTTAATAGTAACAATAATGACCAACTTTTTTTAAAAAATATTAATATTAAAATGTAACCAAATACTAAAAATCTTTTAAAGGTAGATGTAACAAAAATTCTAAGGAAATATATAATTTATACCATATAGAAAAACTATGCATTCTACCTCATCTTTTCTTCTTATGTTCTTTTGGTTAGATATTCCATATGATAGTCTGCTTATTAAGGCTTTGTGGATATAACATGTTGAATATGTTTAACATGTGAATATTTTAATTTGTTACTTTTCTTTTCATTTTAAAATATTTAACATGTACTACTTGGAATTGAATGTGTATTTTAGGTATTTTTACTACTCTACACTCTATTTAAAACCTTTAGTGTGTCAATTAAAAATTATTACTATCTAGTTAAAATCTTATAAGTGGTTCAATGATTTTAATAAATGAACTTTGATGTGGATTAAATTTCATGCTATTGAAATTCAAATAGTTTTATTTATGATCAGATTTTTTTAAAGAAACTTCAAAAAATTTAAATAGGTTTATATATATATATATATATATATATATATACATACATACATACATACATACATGCATGTGTTGTTTTTTCTTCATATCTTTCCCTCCGTTGATAAAATGCAATACAAAACATGAAGTTGTCTAATCAACAATTCAAAACAACATACAATTAGGACAACCTAGGAAAGTGTGTATTTCTTTTGATCAATCAAGGTATTAAATGATATAAATTACACCAAAACTCTCATATCCACACACACACACACACACACACTCTCATAGACACATGAATGAATGAATGAATGAATAAAAGTTCTAAAATCAAAATAGAGGTATTCTTCAATCTGAGGAAAACATTATAATTGGAGCCTACAAGATATGAACACATGTAAAATGATACATGTGAATAGCTTGCTTTCAAGTTGGGTTTCTCATGAAATATCTCTAACCATCCTTAATTTCTTAGTATTGTTTACTGAGTAATATTAGTTTATTTTCTGTATGTATGTACAAATATATATATATATATATATATGACACAGGATCTTTTGTACTGCTGTAGAATCCTATACACAGCCTGCCTTGCCCAGTAAACATGTAATGGAATGTATGTGAACCTGGTGCTTGAAACTTGTGGAGTCAAAACTGCAAATTCCAGTCAACACTACGTTTTTATTTTATTTTATTTTATTTTTATAAACAGACTTTTACTTTTTGGTGGTAAAAGCTCTGAAGCACAGTAGCTGGTACCAATGATTTTTTTAAAGAGACTATTATCCAGAAATAGCATATGCATGAACCACAAGATGAAAGACAACTGTGGCACAAGACCCACACCTAACCCTTGGCTTTGTTCTGTTCCCCATTGGGATGGGCACATCCTACCAAAAACTACTTTATCTTCAAGGATGCTCAATTCCTTTTTGTTCTTTTATTGTTTAATTTATATTATTGTGTGGGATGGGGGGAGAGAGAAGATATGTGCTTGACTTGGGATTGCGGAAAATGATGAGGTTTGTAATATTTGTAGTCTTTGAAATCACTCGTTTCAAGCAAAATATGTTCAATCAGTGAAACAAGCACTCAATCAATCATCAAAACTTTTCATTTTAATTAAAAAAATATATTAGTACCTTAATTAATGAAACTCTTTTTATTGGAGAGGTGGCTCATGTACATGACTTTTTTAATGTAGGATATTTGTTTAGTTGTTGTATGTTAATTAATATAGAACACATGGTTTTCACAAATAAAGGACATGAAAGATAATAGAAGATATCACAGAACCTATGCATGGTAAGTCAAAATAGAGAAAAATAAAGTTTTTATTTATTTAATTTTATCATTTATTTATAGTAAAGCAAAGTGTTTGGTGTGCAACACCTCCCTCTAATGAAAAATTTGTTGAACCACTTTTAAACAGTGTTGTCTTGTAATTGCCGTTTTAATATAAGAAAAAGTTTTTAATAATAATATGAAAAATGTCCTACATTAAGCAAATTGTCCTACATTAAAAGGGCCTCCTTATGTGGTAAGTACTTCTAGCAAATGTCTATCACATATTTTAAGCAACAAATCATTTATGTTGAGACATTGCATACATATACACACACACACCTCTAATGTTTAGAAAAATGAAAAACTTGTTTCAATTTTTTTGTTTCAACCCAAGGGAGAATATATTCATATATATATATATATATATATATATGCATTTTTTTCTTCACAAATATACATATATACTAATTAAAAATTTAGGTAAAAAGCTGTGGCCCACAATAATTGCATAGTACACTGCTGCAGTGTTGAAAAAAATCCAGAATTTCAGAGAAGGATGACTTATCATAAATAGCATGTTTCATAATTTCTTCTGGTATTATTGACCTGAAATATTCTAACCTAAGTCAAAGTTTTTTTAATTCCTCTTTAGCCTGCTCTTTAACAAGAGTATTAGAGCACAAGATGAGTTGTTTCTCCTCATTTTTTCAGTCATTGCAAAACTCACACCCCCATGTGTCAGATACCAAGAAAATAAAAGAAAGAAAAGAATGAAAAACTAACACAAAAATCTGGGATTTGGCATCGCCTTCGGTGTACTAAAGGTGCTTTTTATCCACAAAACTTGGCTTGATATCTGAAAATAGACTTCAAAAGTGGGTATTCATTTGATTGCGCATTTTGGGTTCCAGAAGGAATATAAGAACAGAAGAAGAATAATAATAAAAGATTAACCAACAGTTAAAAATATAAATTTAAAATTAAAATAAAAGTGTGAAAGAGTTGACCATCTTGTACTCATCTGCCTTCTGTTAAAAAATAAAAAATAAAATAAAAATAAAATATAGTCAAACAAAAAAAATAATGAAAAAGTCACACACTTGGTCCTCCAAGGCAGAGACTTAGTCAGTGGCTCTAAGCCATAAACCTCATCCCAACAAAAACTTAGTCTATTCTCTCTCATTCTATTCTTTGCTTTAGAGCATCGAATTAGGGTTTCAAGGGGGATGATATTTAATGAGAGTGATAAAAGAATTCTCTCTTGCCTGCCTACATTGGGTCATACACTATTTACTCCTTGTTGGCCATCGATTGTGTGGTCCCCCTTTAATTGCATATTCCTTTGCAAAGTCTTGGCAATCATGGTTTCCATAGAATCCCAAGAAGGATCTCTTGGGAGTTTCAATTTCTCAGGACTCTCTTGTGCAATAGAAAAATACTAAAACTAATAATAGTAGGATAGTTTTAAATTGAAAAAAAAACCAACAAAATCAAAAGTCATCTATCCATGTATATTGAAATGTAGAACTGAAATGAAATTGTAGACATTCAAGCATTCAGCCAACTTTACTGACCTGGGGACCTGCAGTGCCTGTGGAAATACCAAGCCCTCAGAGTTGCATGAATACACACAGCATGAATGTATGTATGTGTTCTCAGAGGTTGTGGGATGTTGTGAATTATTGCATGGGAACTCTAGGGTTCATGTAGACTGTCCTCCAGCAATTTGTGCTCTCATTGTTTCTTTCATGGTCATTCAAGTCTCACATCAACCACACAAACTCTTCCAGTCCTTGTGACACTCTTCTGCAACAATGACAAGTACCTCTCTACAAGTTGCTCATGACAGCCTACTTGACTTCACACTCTTCTTGCCACCCCAAATGCTTTGCTGTTTTTCATCAGCCACTTCTTTTCTGCTTCTCCTTGTTACTTACATGTGTAAATATGTATATAAATGTATAGTAAGAATCTAGATTAGTGGGAGGATATCTCAGAATTGAAAGAGTAATAGATTTCTTGTGGGTGTAACATTAGCTAAGTCAGTAGAGCATATGATGTTAAAGGTAGCCTGCAAAGAGACAGCTTGTTCACATGCGAGGCAGTATGTGGATGTCTCTGGAAATTGAGAGTGGTCCTCTCTGTGGTACACTAAAATTATTTTTCTTCAGAGCTATCAACACCTCCATACACGTATCCATCACTCCATCACTGTCTTCACACACTCCCCCCCCCCCCCCCCCCCCCTTTGAGACATCCTTGCATAATCCAAACCATATTAAACCACATTGTTTATCTCTTAAAACCTCTTCCACACCATCTGGGACATAGGTCAGGGCCAAACACAAAGCCTCATTGATGTCACTCACTAGCACTTCCTTGTTGAGGCAACTGCTGCATCTCTATTCCATCTTCAATATATATATATATATATAAATATGTATTATGGATTGTCCCCTCAAAGAGATTACTAAACCAAATGTCTACTTTGATGTGCCACATTGCAAGGGAACAGAAAATTTCAGTTCACACTTTCCTACACACAGCTGTCCAGTCTACAGATGGACAAAGGCAGAGACCCCCAAAACACCTTTTCATTTGCTTACAGTAGAGTTCAATCTTCCAGTCCTGTATTTGTTGTGAAAATTTGTAGAGTGCTGACTTTTCAAGTATTCATGCATCCCACGAGAATAATGCTGTAAGAATGTAGTGCTGAGTGTTCTGTGCGCTTATCTGAAAAACCATCATTCAGGGCAGAGTCTAAGTACATTACTGCATCTCCAACCTTCAGGGTGGGGGACTCATTGCTTCAGCCTCTAAAATGCACATGGCTTCTGTTCTATCACACTGAAAATCTGGTGTCGTCACAACTGAAATATTTGCACAGAAGTACCACTCATCAGCAGTTGATCATTTAGAAAAAATTAGGGCTATGGACTTGATTTCTGGGGTATTGTGTGTGTTAGTGAAATTGTGCACTACTATTTTCAGAAGTCACTTGAATTTCATAGGAATGACAAAGGAAGGCAAACTCTTAGTATCTAGAGGAGGAGCAAATAGCGAGGGGGCAGCTTGCATGGCATGGTCAAGTATCACTTTGGCAGGTGTTTGTTTAGTGGTTCCAAGAGTCCACTTGCCCTTCTCAAATGTACCAGCCACTGTGCATTTGGACTTGAAGAACATGAACTTCCCTGGTCCCTCAGGTTTGCTCTTGGCAAAGTCACCCTCGTAAAAATCGCCGTTTTTAAACAACCACTTCCCTTTTGCAAAGAATCCTTTTTCCCAAATTCCAATGAACTTCACATGCCAACCGACCAATATGATTGTCAAACTCTAACAGTGTCGTAGTCTCTCAATCAGGTCAGGATGCACTTTCATTTTATCTCTTCATTGTCTAACAACATAAAATACTTTTTCAAGATGTGCATAGCAACAGTATGAAGCAAATGTATTGGGAACCACGTGCTAGAATTCTTGGCACATTGCATGATTATATGCTGACGCACAGGAAAAAGTTCTACGACTACCCTTAATATATTATCTCCTTTATCTGTGACGACTCCTTGACGTTTCTTTAAGCGGATGAACACACGTCAGTGACTTGACTTTAGAATGACTTTTAACAGTTGAAAGCTTACTTGAGCCATGTCATTCTTGAAGAAGTATGAGCCCACACCATGCTTTTTATTCTCAAACCATTGTCCCTTGTAGATATCGCCATTTTTATACGTATACTGACCTTCTCCACTTCTCTTATCTTGATACCATGAACCTGCAAATCTCAGTGTCGAGATTAGGTTCTTTCATCTAGGATTTCACTCACAATAATATTACGAAGACCGCATCTACCATTTTGAAAACGTAGCGGAGCTTCACGTCTACGCTAAAGCCATGAACATGAAGAGCTGTCGTATAATTGATTTGCTTATTTGGGTTTCACAGAGATATGGTTATCTAAAAGGGAGTCGCAATGAGGTCGGCCATGAAGAATTAAACCTGTGTAGGAACTCTTGTCCGGGAAGGACATTGTGCCAAATCCTGCCTTCTGATTGTCAGTGTAATTCCCTTCATATGTTGCAGCATCCTTGGTGAACGTGTATTTTCCAAAACCATGTCTCTTGCCACCATAGTAGGAGCCCTCAAAAATATCCCCATTAGGATATGTTGCAATGCCTGGACCTACTGGTTCAAAATCTTCCAAGAGTCCACTCCATGAAAATTCCTGTGATAGATCCCAGAATTTCAGATTCGTATCTTTTCTTGATGAAGAGCTTTGACTTCTTAGCAAGTTCTCCCTTGTTCTCGCTCACGCAATCAAGCATGTCTCAGTCCCTTATGAGATCATTGCATGCTGGAAGCTCAGAAAGAATTTTTGCGGCAGTAAATTTGAAGAAATGAATGTGCACCTTGTTTCCCTCCTCTCCCTCGCCCTCCTCGTCATCTTCACTCGACATTTCAAAATATTACACGCTTCGAAATTTTTAGTTCTTCAATTCCGTGTTAATCAGTCTCCTGCAGCACCAGATGAAAATCCTACACGCACACGAGTTGCGAAGAAGAATCCAGTGTCGAAATCGTGGGAAGAATTTTCCTCTGAATTTTTGGTACACAGTGCATACGATTCTCTCATCCCTACAATGTTTTCAACTAATGAGGCACAAGTTCCAGCAATTTTGGATGCCGGATCCTGTACAATGCATTGGTAAATTCAGTACTCACCACAGCCAATAGTGCGCTGATGTGTTGAATGGCACACTTCAAAGGTTCGGCCAACTCGAAGCAGCACTCTGAATTTGAAATCGAAGTCGAAAATTGTTAATAATAAATCGTCATGAATCACATCACACCGGAAGTGGAGTGGTTCTGCGAGTGCAAGATGAAGCCGAATTTGTGATTTTTATAACTGAATATGTGACAAGCGAACACGTTACAACTAGAGCCATGGAAGTGAAAAAATACAGGATCGACATCCTGGAGAATCAAAGACCCAACACTTCCGTCCCAGCATAACAACTGCCGAAAAATAGATGAATTACTCGGAATGCTAAAAAAACCCTCTCTCCAAATTGAAACGCAAACAGCTCTTGTGTATTACAACAAAATAGAACTACAAGAATTTCAGACCAATTTCAAACCCCAAGAAATTCTTCTCGATTGAGGTTTGCCGCTCACACACAAAAGCGAGAAAGGGAGAGAGAGAGAGAGAGAGAGAGAGAGAGAGCGTAAGAGATCGAGCACCGCAGTGTGGCGGTTAGAGTTCACCAGAACGGCAACTCTCGGTACTCTAATCAAGTTCCCAGAGTTCACAGCATGTGACTAGAAAATTAGCAGCCACGCAGTTCGGCCATCTGCGAATAGGTTCGGAATCTGAAAGAATTTGCACATCGAACAAGACGATATCTGGAGGAGGCGGTGAAATGAAGGTCACGATTCTCAGACAAAACACGGGCTCGTTTCTCATCTACATCGCTGCGGTAACAACAACAACAGCAGAGTGTGGCAGGTTACGACCCTTTGACAAGCAGCAATAGTGCGCATTGCGGTGAGTGAAATTCAAGCTCTCTCTCAAGCTACACACACTCCAACAAACATCACGCACAACTCTACCGGAGCTAAAAAATTGATATAGTCCGGCGCCAAATTCATGCTCTGTCTGAGTCTCCTTCTCCTTCTTCTTCTCGATATTACCCTCTCATGCGAAATGCAGTTCCAACTGTTGCATTCTTCGCCAAAAAAAAAAAAAAAAAAAAAAAAAAAAACGTAAAATACAAAAAGCCGCACAAATTTATCTGTTTTCTCGCGAATTCGGCTTCATTTTCCCAGCGATGTGCAGAGCAAGTGCTGATTTCGAGAAGAGTAAGAACCATGTCCATGAATGTGATACTGTAAATAAGTCATTGTGCAGCTACTTTATTGCAATTAGTTTATTTTTGTGAAGGTCCAAAATATCCACTCTAATGTAGAGAATGTTGCTATTTTTTTTTCAATTTTGTACATTCTGAGTTGACAAGGGTTGGATACAATGTAGAATAGGTGCAAATTGTTTACAAGCATATTGGGGTTGCATTGTTGTTGTTGTTTTGTGCAACTTTGCTTTGTTAAAGTGGTAAAATTGTCTTTCACTTGTGAATAGAAATTAGATGACGTGATTTTATAATTATTCGATTGCTTGCGTTTTAATATTTGTTTCAATGTTTGTTGCATATGTATTGAAGAACATGGACCAAAAGTAAATTAAACTTAATATTAATAATCTTGGTAGAATTTTTTTCACAAAGTTCATAATTTATTTATTTTAGATACATATATTTTTTCACAAATTTATTTGTTGTGTGCAATTGTGTGAAAACAAGAAGCTAGAAAACACTTGTTGTAGTTCAAACTAATTCTGAAAACAAATTCAACTTTAAATTTGATTCGAATTTAAAGCCCAATCTAAATTATTACTAATTAAAATTCAAACTTTAAAAAATCTAAAACCTTGGAATTTTGATAAAATTGACAACTTAAAAAAATTTATATTTTTTTAATCAATTATAGATAAATCTAAATCTTAAAATCTTAAATCTTAAATTTTAATTAAAATTAATCATAAATATTCCTAATATTAATCAAATTTTAAACATTAAACCTAAGCATATAAATAATTCTAATTCTATTATAAATAGAATTTTAATTTTAAACTGAATCTTATATTTTAAATATAACTATTATGCAAATTACAATCTACTTCTAATTAAATCTTAAATCTCAAATCTAATTTGAATAATCTTAAAGCAATAAGAATAAAGTTTTAAATCTAAATATTTACTTCTAATTAATCTTTAACAAAAAATAGATCTTATTTCTACAAAATCCTATTTATTAATTTAAATATATATATATATATATATATACACACACACACACACACACATCTATATATATATATATATATATATATATTAATAAAGCATAAATATATTTTGTAAGATTTATAATAAGAAAAAATATTATACTATAAAATAAATCTAATAAATCAATCTATTTAATTAAAAAAAACAAAAAAATAAGTAAGATTTTCAAGAATCTATAAATTAGTTAAATTGTGTATAAAATTTAATTAGCTATTTTATTTAATTCATCTTTCATTGCACATTGTAGCAAAAATAAAATTTTAATATTAATTATTTTCTATCATTTTGATTCTATTAATTAAATTATCATAAATTGGATTGAAATTCTTGACTAAGTTCAAGTTGTATCCATATTCTTTTAAAATTATATAATTTAAATTTTAAAACCAAATATCTTAGTCTTATTTTTTTAATTTTGATAGATATGTAGTGAATAGTGTGTTGTGTTATATTTAGTCTTAGAAAGGAATTAGAGATTAGACAACCAACACCATCATATTCTGTAAATAAAGATCATCATATAAAATAGATCAAGTGCCAAGAATCAATATTAAATATACAATCTAAATCAAATAAGAATGCACAAGCAATATACTTTCAAGGAAAGATAGAAAATCTAAATTCAACTTGGTCCACTTATCTCTTATATTACAAAAGAGGAATCTAAGAGTGCAAGTGTGAAGAAAAAATCCTAAATTTTTACTAAACAATTAAATTACCATAGCTAAGCAAAATCTTACAATCATAAGCTTTCTTTGTTCAATTATACTTATAAGACTTGACTTGACAAGAATGTCAAGTCAAAAGAATTTTTTCATCTAAATTTTTAAATCTTAATTGCCAATAATAGGGCCAATTAATGTAAAATTCTAAGTATATAAGAATCTATTAAATTAAATTAGACTATATCCATCCAACATGATTTGGCATCTAATTCTATATCACATGACAATAATTGTGTAAATAAAGATTATCATACATAATAAATCAAGTTTTAGAAATCAACATCAAGTATGCAAACTAAACCAAATAAGAATGTACAAGCAATACACTTTTAAGTGCTTCTTCTAGGTAATTAACAGTCCTAGTAATCTGCTAGAACAACAACTTATACATAATTGGAGATAAATGCCATAGTGATATTGCTACAAAAATTCCATATATCTAAGCCAATATTGTGGCAATTAGTCTACAAAAACATGTAACAAACCCGGAAGAAGAAGTTGTCAACTCTTATCAATAGATGAGATATGACTAGAAGACTTTCCACAATAAGGACAAATCTAATTATCTGAAAAAAGAATTAAAAGAGGTAGCATGAAGCATATTGTATGCCAGCCACTTTAGTACTAATTCAATAATAGGATGGTAGTAACATTTTTCTTTTAACTACATACAAAATAAAAGAGGCTATTTGACATAATTATAAATTTAGGATACAAAGAATTATTAATAAAATGATGACAAAGAGCACAATTCTTTAAATGCTCTCAATACTCATATCCATCCTTGCCTTTGAGTAATAAAATATTATTAGTCAAAACATCTTTCACACAAAGAATTGTTTGCTTTATTTTGACATCAAGTATTGTAGGTATGTCATGTTGTAAATGTACATAAATCTCTTTGGAATGTCTTTGCAACTAAGATCCATAATTTTTGTTGCAAATGCAAGTATACTTTAAAGTATCAAGATGTTGAATGATAGATAAGTTCTCTATAGCCATGTTCATGGCCTTTTTAATCCTAGAGACCTTAAGTCCATATTGTTAGGATCATTGAAGTCTTCAATTGGAGCATGCTTTTCAAAGATTAAGCTTAATAGAACTAGCTCCCATCCATACAATAATTAGTAAAGTTTATAAAATGTCATTCATGCCTATCTATTAAAATAATACTCTATTGCAATCTATGGCAATATTAAGTCTCAATCATGATGGTTGCTATGAAGCTATCCATATTTTTATAAACCAAGTTTGACAGTCTAAATAATCTGTTCAATTAAGCCATCCATCTCAAGATAATTTCTAAATGTGATATAATAATCTATTAGAACTTTAATATACAAAGCTTCAAAAAATCCAAAGAACTTTCTTCATTGATTTATTAAGACTTCAACATGTGTTCCAAAATATGATAACATTTAATTAAAAAAAGCCATAGCTACTTTTTCTAAAGAATTTTGTGGAAAAGCCATAAATTCAATCTACTTGCTAAAATACTTTATCATTGCCAACACATATTTAGTTCTATGTGGAGTAACAAGAAGTAGTCCAAGAAAGTCCAAAAATCAACAATAATTCAAATTCATAAAAAGTAAAGGCTTTAATTAAGATGATAAAGTATTAAAATTTAATTTGACATGATTACACACTTTATATTGAAAAACATATGTGGTGACTTATTGATACATGTCAATTTATCAATGTTGGTTGTGCAACATAAAATGTGACTTGTACATTTCAAAATATTTAAGTCCTTTATATACTTATTACAATAAGAAAGTTCTATAATTTGGCCTTGAAATGATACGTTGTTGTATTCCTTGAAATTTGCTTGAGAATACACTAGGCTTGATTGTAGAAAGTAAAATAGAATTTCCAACAACAAGGTTCTTATAACTTTAATAGAATCATAAAAAAACTTTAATTAAATCTTAATAATGATAATAAAACTTTGATCAAATTGAAATAAAGTCTTAAAAAAATTATAAAAGAAATATAAAAAAATCATAAAATAACATTTTAAAAATAGGTATAATAAAAAAACCTTAAAGTAATAATAAGATAGAAATCCTAAAAAAATATCAAAGAAATATCAAAGAAATATTAAAAATAAAAATCCTAAATAAATCTTAATAAATTTTAAACAAATTCTAATGAAATCTTAATGAAATTCTAACCAAATTCTAATCAAATCATAATAAAATCATAAGTAAATTATAAATAATTTCTATAGGTGTTGTAAAATCTCATTAAATATTAATTGAAATATTTATCTCAATTAAAATTTCACCCAAATTTCAATCCACAAGCAAATAATAGGCATGCAAATTTTGAAGAAAATCAAACTCACCAATTGAGAGAAAAATCTCTAAAAACTCTTGGATGTCAATTGCCTCCCTTCTCTAATGTGGATATTTTTTATAAAATAGTAATTTTTCCTTATTTAACCATTCAATTACTTTAAAAATTTATCAATTTGTAGATACCTAAGTCAAAATGGCTCTCACCAAATTTTGCTTCAATTAAACTAATAATATTTTTAGGATCATAGAAATCCTTACTGATCCTAATTTTCAAGTATTTAAGATCTTAATCTAATAAAACTCTCATATCTTTTAATTTTATTATTAAATTAATCTCTAATTTTTTAAATATATTCAAAATAAGCACAAAAATAAACTTATAAAATTTCACTTGTAAATTTGCTACAATACTCACACAATCTTCAAATTTGTAAATCTCTTTTTATTTGTCAAAATCTAAAACCATTAAATACATCTTTCATTTTAAAAATTATTCAATAATTTAATATATATTTGAATTACTTAAAACCAATGTCTAAACAATCCTTTTAAATTCTTCTCTTTAATTTCACTTTTAATCACCAAAATCCTAAATTTTCCATAAATAAATGGTTTTATGTCTCAAAATTTAATTTTGATCCAAGTTCATAACCTATCTTATATGAATATCAATTTTCAGAATCTTAAGATAAATTTTGCTAAAAAATATTTTTAATTTATTCTTAAATATTTTTATATTATTTTTTTTAT